GAACAGCCTGCTCTTTTGGAGATTTCTTTTTGTGTCTTACCCTCCTGATGGAGAGTGTCAATGATGGTCCTCTGGACAGCAGTCAGGTCAGCAGTCTTCCCCATACTTGTGATTTAGTTTACTGAACCAAGCTGACTGTTTTTAAAGGCTCAGGGAAACCCTTGCAGGTGTTTCGAGTTAATTAGACGATTCAAGTGATTAGTTAAATAGCCTGCTAGTATAGTTTTTCATGATATTCTAATTTTTTGACATAGGATTTTTGAGTTTTCCTAAGCTGTATGGCATAATCAGCACTATTAAAACAATAAAAGGCTTGCAATATTTCAGTTGATGTGTAATGAATCCAGAATGTATGACATTTTTGTTTTTTTAATTGCATTACGGACAATAAAGAACTTTATCACAATATTCTAATTTTCTGTGACAGTCCTGTACATGTGCAAATATACTTAGACTAAATGAAGACACCAAATTAAAAACATTTTATTTTCAAAAAATAATATTCTAGTACAAATAACGTCATTAAGAATAAATCGCACAATAATGTAATTACATATATATTAAGAAACCTGCAGAATCATTTTACCACTCATAATTTTATTATATATTTTAAACATCTTCCGTTCCTCAGAGACCTAGTAAAGCAGTTCAACATGTTCATGTTCTTGGTTGATCGCATGTATCATCCTAATCGGTGCAACGCGAAGATTTCTTACTCAGAAGTTTTGTAAAGTTTGCTGTGGCATTTCGAACCACATGCCCCGCCCACACCTACAAACCTCCGTCATCTTGAGCGGAACGGAATGAGCTTCGTGCGCCATCTAGGGGACAGTGAGAGGCTTGCACGTAATTAATGGTTACTCCACTCTTACTGTATTATGTATAACTGTATTATGTAATATATGTATAACTGTATTATGTGTTATATATAAACAAGAACCTAATGATTATTCATATACCACCCTTATTTAATAATTTACCCGGAAATAATAGAAAATTTACATTCTTGTCAAAAACAGCTTAATTCAGCACGAACCAGTTATCGTCAGTGTACCTGTGGCAAAGTGTTTTGATATAGGAAAAAATGTACGTTTCGTTCTTAAATACTATGTCCACGATTTTAAAAAGTACATTCTAATCAAAATGTCCGTCAGAATTCGCCATTGACCCCTAGCACGAACAAATATGCAGTTCAGATATGCTTGTTATTACGAATGGTATAAACCTATAGATCTAGTGTAATCGGGGCGATTAGACCGAGAACTCATCCGAACTTAACTAGGCATATTAGATTAACTAAGGCCTAATTAAGTTACCAATATTTGGATGGGGACAGTAAAAGCCCAGAAAATGAAGACTATCCGCAGTAAAGCACAATTAGTGACTGAATCTACCTAATTAATCAAGTGGGAAAAAACGTGCATGTAATATAAGGAACATGGCTGAACCGAAGTGAAATTATCTTACTTCCTCGGCCCAAAGGCACCAGACTACGCTTGAATATATAATGTAAAATAAATTCGGCAGTGAATTAAAAAGTTAAAGTACGCATTTGCGCCGTTACAGCGCATAAACAGTTTAATAAGCGCCCAGCATCCCGACGCTTTACGCGCACAGCCCTGCGGGCGTCGCCGTTCTGGATGCGCGCGGTCCGCCGGTATCCCGGCAAACCGCTGATCGTTTAAAGTCTCACCAAGTTAGAAGCGTTTTTCCGGATACACCTGCGGAAACCGCGAAGAAGCAGCTCGGCACTGCGCTCTGTTACCGGATCGAGTCGCCGCTCCTGTCTTCGCTGACCCTGCTTTCGGCTTCGTGCATGTCCGGTCCGGTCGGTTCGGCTCGGCTCGCCTCAGCTCGGCTGGGAGTGGACTTTTTTTTTGTTTGGTTTTGCGAGCCGTCGACGTGATTTGTAGTACATGCAGGGCGATCGGGCGTTTTCAACTTCACTCAAGTTTGTTTTTTTTTCGTCTTATGTTTAAAGTTTTTGTTTTAGCAGATTGAAAGACCAACTGCGATGGGATGCTGTGGCAGCGCCGAGGTAAGAAATCGGGATCCCGAACCCACTACGAGAAACCTTGTATGCATTAATATACTTGATTTGGAAAATAAATATAGCGTTGCAATTCATATCATCCAGTGGACGTTGGATGACGGGCGCGATGCAGGTTTTGCAGAAGTTTAGTGTTGTTATTTCCGACTTGATGAAAGAATATGTAACGTCTACATGTGTTACATGTTAAAGGCAGTGACATAATGTAGTAATAATAATAATAGGCATGTGTATGTTAAACGTGCATATCAGTGTGTCGGCGAAGAGCTTGGTTTCGCAAAAATGATAATGACCTGGTTCCTATATGTTGTCGAGCGGCTTGCCGCAAAGCCTGAAGAATATTCCGTGACATGCTCCTAAATAATTTAGTGATTTCGAAAAAAAGATCCCAGAATACAGGCTGTTCACTTCAGTTGTTTTCTAGCAGATATCTTGCATTATATTGCTGATCGGTACCGTCAGCACGTCGCCCGTGCGTGGTCAGGTGGCTGTGTTTTTTATTGTTTTGGGAAGGCGTCGGACCTCTCGCATGTATGTATTTATGTCCACAGAGGCCAAAGCGAGAATGGAGACCTTTAGAGGAAAGATCCTGCACGGATATTCCCTGGCTCATTGTATTCCTGCTGTTCTGCTTCGGCATGGTGAGTCTCAGACGTGGTATCTGCTGTCGGACGCTACACTGGCCGGATCCTGCTGTAACAGCCCTGCGCCGGACCTGATACTTATTTAGTGCGTCCATCGTGCTTGGATTATAAATGATAACTATACATTAACATTTAAATCCTGTAGTAACTGATACGTTTTCCATGTGTATTATGCAAGGACATTTATATTCTACTTTCCAGTTCTTTCCACTTGTCTGCCGCTTTCCTGAATAGGAGCGTGTTTGCGTTCCTAACTCCAGTCTCATCCAGTACTCGTAGGGAGCCTCGTAGATGAGTATCGAGGTGCTGTTAACGTGGTAAAGCAAGAATAGGCCCGTGTTTTGTACAGTGAAAATCCTCCTCGTAATGTTTCCGAACATCAGTGACCCAGATTTGCGTGCAGAGTAAAAGGAGAATCTGCTGGGATTAAAATAAGCATTTCAAGCTGCTTGATCGCGCACCTACAGTATTAGCCGCGTCTGTTTTTTTTTTTATATTTATTCCTTTGATTTTGCAAGTCACCTCTTTTAAAGGAGAATGTGTATTATTATGGGTTGCCCCTGCTCTACCTGAGTGACTGACTGGCAGCGTTCGACTCTCTCAGATGTTCATCTGCGGGTTTGCCATCGCCACGGGGGCGGCGTCCAGGCTGGTGTCGGGCTATGACAGCTTCGGGAACACGTGCGGCAAGAGTAACTCGCCCATAGCCGGCATCCCACTCAGCGGCAGGGATCAGACCAAAAACAAGTGAGTCCTCAGCACGTAGTTTTCTTTTCAGTGATCTGTTCTGTTCCTGGGTTGTCATAGCAGGTGGCACAGTTACCTCCCACCTACAGGGTTAGGGGTTCGAATGCTTGTTCTTGGGGTACGGACTTTTTTCTGGGTACTCCAGTCCAAACACGTTCGGTTACTCTTACTGTTGTGTCTAAATTGCTGATATTAATGTTCTCAATTATTGTTCTCATTATTTTTTAGAAATTGTACATATTTAGTTTAATATCGTAGTACAGGGGTAGGCAACCCTAATCCTGGAGTGCCAGAATCCAGCAGGTTTTCCATCCTACCTGGTCTCTGATGAACCACACCTGATCTCAGACAGATAGTCAGGTAGGATGGAAAACCTGCTGGATACCGGCCCTCCAGGATCAGGGCTGCCTGCCCCCACCGTAGCACGATCCTTTCACGTATTTTAGAACTTTGTATTCTGTTAAGATGTTTCTTCACAGCATTAAGTTTTTTGCCAACTCTTTACTTAGGTACGTCTTCTTCCTCGATCCCTGCAACATCGACCTTGTGCACAGGAAGATCAAATCCATGGCCCTATGCGTGTCCAAGTGTCCCGACGTTCCACTCATTTCACCCGAAAGCCTGAAGAATTTTGCTGAGCAGAATGGTGAGGTGTTCACACTGGCCTAAAACTTACTGCAGCCAAAGTGTTCTGTAACCGAAATTAATTTGTTTCTGCTTTGAGTTAGCATAGTTGAAAGGTTCATTCCTTCGATTAAGTGAATGTTTAGGCTTTTAACAAGTACTGGTTAAACTTAGTGTCAGTGAATGTTTGTATAATTTTTGTAGGTTCCTTACTCTGCTCATACGACTTGTCGCCTGATCAATACACCACAAGTCCAGAAAAAGCCACAAAATGTCCCAAGCTTCCTGTACCTAAAAGGTGAGGCCAGTTTTGTGTCCTCTTTAACCTAAGCTGTCTTTTGACTTTGCTCATGGGAGTTTTACTTGCATGTACCTACACTTAATGTTCTGAGGGCAGAAGGAAAAATGATTGGTTCAGGGATATAACCAATCAAATTGGGGAGGAGGTGGGTCCAAGCAACTAGAGAAGGCAGGACCATCCAATCAGATGTCTTGGTCCTGCCTCCTCTAGTCTCTTTTTGATTGGTTATCTCCATGAACCAATCATTTTTATTTCTGCCCTCAGAACATTTTTGTGTAAGTAGAACTCCCACGAGCTTTGACTTTATGATGTCATAATGATGTCGCGCGTCTCACCCGAACACAGCTCGTCCCTGCCCATCTTCCATCGCTGCGCTCCCAGTGACGTCGCCTGCTACTCCAAGTTCGCCGAGGCCCTCATCACCTTCGTCAGCGACGACAGCACACTGCACAGGCTCATCGCCGGAGTGATGACCAGCAAGGAGATCATCGTGGGCCTCTGCCTCCTGGCTTTAGGTAGCTTCCCGCACACTGTCAGCCCCACTGCTCCTCTGTGGTTAATTCCGTTTTTAAGCTGCATCTCCAAACACTGCAGTTCAGTGCTGGTCAACCCATCAGGCGACATACACAGTACCAGCCAAAAGTTTGGACACACCTGCCCACAGAGAGGTTTATTTGTACTACATTCTCTGCATTTTCAAATAATTATAAAGACATCAAAACTATAACATATATGCAATTATGCACTGACCAAAAAAGTATAAAACAATTATTTGTTTGTGGTGGAGGGGCGGCCAGCTCTGTGGGTTAGGACTCAGAATGTTGCTGGTTCAGATCCTTGGGTCGGCAGAGGGATTCCACCATTGGGCCCTTGAGCGTGGCCCTTAACCCCAGTTGCCCCAGGGACTGGCTGCCCCTACTGTCCCCTCTACACCAGTTCCATGAGGTGGCCTCCTGGGATGCTTTTCCAGCTGTCCTGAAGGAGGTCCCACACATATGCTGAGCCCTCATTGGCTGCTTTTCCGTCACTCCCACACATATTCTGAGCCCTCATTGGCTGCTTTTCCGTCACTCCCACACATATTCTGAGCCCTNCCTCATTGGCTGCTTTTCCGTCACTCCCACACATATTCTGAGCCCTCATTGGCTGCTTTTCCGTCACTCCCACACATATTCTGAGCCCTCATTGGGTGCTTGCTTTTCCTTCACTCTCTGGTCAAACTCTTCCAAAACCTTTTCTCCTGAGTTTCTCCAGGTCATGTGATGCGACACTGTCACTCTCCTTTGTTGGCGGCTTGGTGTGTCCAAACTTTGGACTGGTGCCGTAGGCAGCCGCTTAGGGCACCATCGTGTGCGAGGGGCATCACCTTCGCCAGTCGGTTTCACTTTCTCTGAAGGTGCTTCTCTACACGATCCTCGCGTCTGGGGAGGGGGTGCCAGCGGTAAAGCTTGCCTAGGGCGCCCCCCATGGGCTTGGACCAGCGCTGCTGCAGTCGCACACAACTACTCAGTTCAGAGTGGAAGAAAATATATCTGTCTGGAGTAAGCCAAGGTGTGACTGAACAGCACATTTCAACACATGTTTGCCAAGATGACTGACCCAAAGGGATTGTAAAATGGTCACAGGAAAGAAAAGACGTCATAAGTCAGGCCTGCCCAGACATAACTGATCGATTTAGTGGCGCACTATCAAACTTAAGTGTGTGTATTAAATTATTGCAGTTGATGCGCAGTGAAGAGAAAGATGTAGACATCCAGGCTGCATTATGGCTGAGAGCTTTGCTAATGCTAATGTGCTTCTCCCCAGGGCATCCTTTGTGTTATCGGCGCTAGAGTGAGGGCTGATGGCCCGTAATGAAATGCCTCGTCTCTCTCCTGTCCTGCAGTGCTCTCGTTTATCCTGATGCTTGTTATCCGCTACATCTCCGCTGTGCTGGTCTGGATCCTCACCGGAGTTGTGATCCTCGGCTCGTTGGGTGAGCTAAGAACCCTCATTACCCTCGATTAGACTGCCAAACATGTGTTTCCAGACATCCGGCAATTTTGCATTTACACCAGAATGGATTTCAAGAACAGTGTTTCCCAATGCAGTCCTCAGGGACCCACAGACGGCCTGCATTTTTGCTCCCTGCCAGACAAGCCCGCATTTTTGGGAGCAGAAACATGGAGCGTCTGTTGGTCCCACAAAGACCGGGTTGGAAAACACTCTTCTAGAGTATTGCTCTGAATTGTAGAGTAGTATGTCACCATTCACCACCAAAAAATGAATGCTAGCTTAGTGCCCCATCATTTAATTTTATTTCATACAAAAGCTGTAATTTGTGGTCTAATGAATATCAGCTGGAAATTTTTTATAATTCAAATTTCTAGAAAAGTATAATAGTTTTTTTTTCTGCACATTTTTTTTTCCTCATTTTGTTTGTATTGATAATTGCTCAAACCCGGGTCTGTATGCATTAAGCTTAGGTGATGTGGGACAGGATGAACCTCTTTCTTTGTCTGCAGGAGGAACCGGTGTTCTCTGGTGGCTCTATGCAGATCACCAGAACGCCTTGAATAAAACCCTGGGCCCAAATGAGCTGCAGGTGGCCCAAGACAATGTCCGTGCCTTGCTAATATATGCCATCGTCGCTACTGTTTTCACAGTAAGTGCTTTAGTTCTGATTTTATTTTAGTTTTGCTGTGTAAAACGTTAATATCACAGAGCTGTCGCAGAGATTTACAGGTACACGTTACCATCACAACGCGCATTGCTGGAAACTCGACCCTCCCTGGTTGATTATTTTTTTTATTTACATTTTTTTGGGGGGGGGGGGGAGGTCTTTGTGTACAGGGTGGCATTCACTGTCCGCAAAGTATCAGTTTGTACCTTTTGACGGTACCATTATTTGTCACTGATGCTGTACCCTTGAGGGTCTGCGAATTGTACCTTAGCTGTAGGTAAATGTTCCTTTTGAGGTGCAGAAATGGACACAGAGGAACATTTTTGTGGTATTGGAGGGACATCAGTGTTTGTATGAAACTGTAAGATGGTACCATTTACTCTGACTGTATGTGCAAGAAGATGCTTTATAAATGTTTTCATATGAAGTAAATTACTGGAAAAAGCAGAAGATTGCTTGGAAAATCCTTCCTCTCGCAATTTTATGCTTTTTTTTTGTTTCTGATAGTCTCTTTACATTTGTGGTAAACTAAGTTGCCTTGTGATCTGTGTCTTTGATCTTGCATTTTCTCTCCCGCTTAATGTGTTTATGACACGGCCGGTTACTGGGTGTTGCTGGGGAGTTTCGTGTGTGGTTGTTGATGGTGGCCATCTCCCGTTCAGGTGATCCTGCTCCTCCTGGTGTTCATCATGAGGAAGCGTGTGGCTCTCACCATCGCTCTCTTCCATGTGGCTGGGAAGGTCTTCATACACCTGCCTCTGCTCGCCGTCCAGCCGCTTTGGACCTTCCTGGCCCTCATGTGCTTCTGGGTCTACTGGGTCATGGTTCTGCTCTTCCTTGGCACTGCGGGTGAGGAGATAACGAAACGGGGCCTCACGCTCGCGCTCGGATTGTCTGGGGGCCCTAGCATGACATCGGCATGAGTGCTTGGGTGTTGCCGATTTTTGAACCAACCGTTAGGGAGGAGCCCTGATCTTTGCTGGGGCCTCAGGCTGATGTCTGCATAAATCCGCCTCTGCTTACACGCACTCTGGCTTCACATGTGTAAGACCCTGTATCTGCAACGTCGAAACTGGCACAATATGGTGGTGTGTTGCTCTGCAGTTTTCGAGATCTGTGCCCATGTCCGAAAGGTTGTGGGTTCAAATCCCACGGCTAGCAGAATAATCACATCACCGTTGGGGCCTTAAGCAAGGCCCTTCAGCTTCATGAACCAGTTGCTGTATTTTTGACCCCATTAGCTGGTGCTCTTGGTTAGATTTGGGGCATGCTTTGAGCCCTTTTATGGACAGAGAGCACCATCTAGTGGGGGTTAGTAATACAGCAAATGGTTCATGAAGCTTCATTTTGCCATCATTACTTAACCCCAGTTGCTACAGGAACTCTCGCTGACCCTGCTGTCTGATCCATACATGTCAATTTGGACAAAAGTGTCTGCTAAATAAATGCAAATGCGAAGTATCGACACAAAACCGCTGGTACTCTATAGGTGAGGGTACTTTAGTTCTGCTTTATTGTGTGCTGAATTGTGTGTGTGTGTGTGTGTGTGTGTGTGTGTGTGTGTGTGTGTCTGTCCTCAGGTAACCCAGTCAAAAACAACCAGACGGGTTTTGTAGAGTTTCACATGTCCGGCCCCCTGCAGTACACAACCTGGTACCACATCGTGGGCCTGATCTGGATCAGTGAGTTCATCTTGGCCTGCCAGCAGATGACGGTGGCTGGGGCAGTGGTCACCTACTACTTCACAAGGTTGGCGTGCGTCATACTAAGCACTAGTGATGGCCGAATGAAGCTTGAGGAATTGCTTGCTGTATTTTCTGAAGCCACTAGATGGTGTCTTCTGTTCAGAAGAGGGCTCAAAGCATGCCCCAAAGTAAACCTAGAGCGCCATCTAGTGGGGTCAAAAAATACAGCAAATGGTTCATGAAGCATCATTTGGCATCACTAAGCACCTACATTCCTTAATTAGCCTTAAGTAGCCCCCTCACCCAGTGGCCTAAAGTAACATTGTATACCTTGAGAAAACAATTGTGGGTTTTTAATTTACTTATTTGTTTATCTGTTTGTTTTACTCTGTTTTACACTTGAAGACCACTGCCCTTCAGGCTCTTGGTTACTTTGTCCTCTTGCAACCCAGCAGAAAAAAGGTTTTCGTATTAATTTTAAAATTTTAATATAACTGAAATGCCCAGGATGTCCCCAGCATTGTACGAGAACATGATTGAATATATGGTTTGTAGAGACCAGAGTCTCCTGTCCCTTGCAGAGGACAAAAACGAACTGCTGAATCTCAGGAGGACGTATTAGATGAACGGTTAGGCGGTGGGGTGCAACTACTAAGGGTGAATCTTAATATGCATACATGACCATACTTGTGTTCTTGTGTACCCGTTTTATGCCATCTTCCATTGACCAGGCCCAAATACTTAGAACACAAGTACAGAGGATTGTAAAAATCCATGGATGTTGGTCTTGCTCCGCCCTAAATATCAAGGATACGCCGGTTACGACCTTGCTATGCTATATAAACACCCCTCCCTAAAGGCTGGATGAGCGAGCTCTTTAGCGCCCCCTAGTGGTCGTCTCCTTGACAGTTTGATAGTCCCTTTGTTTCACCATCTCAGGGACAAGTCCAAAATGCCCGCCACCCCGATCCTCACATCCCTCTTCCGCCTGGTACGCTACCACCTGGGCACAGTGGCCAAGGGCTCCTTCATCATCACGCTGGTCAAGATCCCTCGCCTCATCCTCATGTACATCCACAACCAGCTAAAAGGAAAGGTACGGCCACAGCTGGTCTTAAGCTAGTGTGCAGACATTGTCCCTGAACATTCTGAGGAAGGTGCTCCTGCTGATTCCTGCAGGTGAACATTGCTGCTGGCACCTTTTGGGATAAGTGGACTTGTCTGGGCTTGTCCGATGATCCAAGTGACACTTCTTTACGCTCTTTCTGTTGAGAAATGGTTTTGGTGATCGCAGTGGTGACATGAGCTTAAAAGAAAATCATGCAGAATTATAACCTGGCGTATTTCCAAGATATCGAATGACATTTGTGTAAAGTGAGGTGAAATGCAGTTGGGAGTTCAGTATTAGTGTGGTAAAGTTCCTCTCCTCCGGTTCATATGTACTTACATTGATTAAATATGTTAAATGCATAATCTGATTTTTGTTTGTCTCCTTTCAGGAAAATGCCATCGCTCGCTGTTTGCTAAAAGCTTGCATTTGCTGCCTGTGGTGTTTGGAAAAGTGCCTCAGTTATTTGAATCAGGTAGGTTTTATTTCCATTTAAGCATTTAAAAGCCACGTCTTGTGCCTGCACCGGTAGCTGTCTCCTGTGACTGAAACGTCGGGCTGCGACTCGCCGCCTTGATCCCCCGCAGAACGCCTACACTGCCACGGCCATCAACAGCACCAGCTTCTGCACGTCGGCGCGCGACGCCTTCCTGATCCTGGTGGAGAACGCCCTGAGGGTGGCCGCCATCAACACCGTGGGGGACTTCATCCTGTTCATGGGGAAGGTGCGGCTCGGCGTCACGAAGCGGGAGGAGGCCGGCGACCCGGCTTCGCTCGTTTTTGTTCGTTATGCTCAAGCATGCACATGTCGACCAAGGGGTGCTAGCCAGGGGTGCTAGCCAGGGGTGCTAGCCGGGGGTGCTAGCCGGGGGTGCTTGCAGTCAGACACGTTACCGCCTAAATGCTGCAGGCACTTTACCTGGAAATGTACTGTTCTCTCCTAAATTGCAACCCACCAATAGTAGCCTGTCAGTACAATTACATAATTGCCTCATTTCAATATAAAATGATTCATATTCCAGTATATATCAGTACACACACATATCTAATATGCTGACTGTTTGTTTTGGGGGTAGAAAAACAGTGGTTAAATTTTGAGCATCCTAGACATGACAATAGTAGCTGCATGGTTGGTTTGTTGGTGTGCGTGTTAATCCTCGTGTTCCTGCTTCTGTCTGGCCTCAGATCTTGGTTGTGTCCTGCACGGCCTTCGTGGGGGTGTTGACGCTGAACTACCAGCGCGCGTACACCGTGTGGGTGGTGCCGCTGATCATCGTCTGCGTCTTCGCCTTCCTGGTGGCCCACTGCTTCCTCTCCATCTTCGAGAACGTGGTGGACGTCCTGTTCCTCTGCTTCGCCATCGACACCAAGCACAACGACGGCAGCCCGGGCAGGGAGTTCTACATGGACAAAGCCCTCATGGTGAGTTCTGTCCCCATATGGGTCAGTCAGAAGTGTTTTGTATTCTTCATATATATGTGGGTTCCAAACAATGCAGAAATATCTGTTTTCATCGGAGTGTATTTTCAAAAGTACTGTAAACGGGGAGGTACCGAATTTGCCGATTAAACGATACGCGCGGTAATTTGTTTTCGTGGCAACGCAGATGCGTGCAAATTTTTTTTTTGTGTCTTTGCGCTGCTATGACACGAAATTACCGTGTATCCAGTTAATACGTACTTCATTTGCGGTATACAGGTTAAAATGTAGGGTAATTCATTGTCATAGCTGCTTTATACTGGGAATGCGTACTTGCATACAAATCATGTGCATCCGAGTTTATAAAGACAAAGCAATCACACTCTCATAATTAGCAAGTAGGTCCCGGATGGGTCGTCGAGGTAAGCACCCAATCAGCGTCATTTGTTGATTGACGGCCACACCCCCACAACTGTCACCCATACCAGTCTGCACGATCTTCAGAAAATTGTATACGTTCTTGTGCCTCACATCTCCAGGGTTGGGGTTATGTGCGTGAAGTTTGCATGTTTTCTCTTGTGGCTCAAGCTTTTGTTTCCTCTGGGTACTCTAGCTTCCTCCTGCAATCCGCAGCCTAATTGGCATCCTCTAAATTACACACAGTTTATGATTTTGTGTGCATGCACCCTGCGCCAGACTGGAATCCAGGGTGTAACCCTACTTAGGGCCCTGTGCTGCTTAGGATTGGCTCCAGCCCCCCAACAACCCTGACCAGGATTGGTTAGAAGATGGATAGATGTGTTTTATTAGCATGCTCTGGTTATGAGATACTAGATACAAGGTCTAAGCAAGCAGCAGCACCCAGGTGCACCATAAGGCCCTCGGACGTTGAGGTGGACCTGACGCTCTCCTGCTTCCACTCTGGCAGGAGTTTGTGGAAAGCAGCCGGAAGGCTGGCCCCAGCCGGTCCGACGGCGCCGACAGCAAGGAGATGAGGCCCATGGTGAGTGAGGAGACCGCCGGACCCCCTGCATCAGGTTTTTGGCCCATGGGCCTGTAAATCGGGCCGTCTGGGAGAGCACTGGGCCGAGCAGCATGTGTCCATCGCCACTAAAGGGCCGTCGTTTCTAACTAGTCCAGATTCTATCCTTCATAACATGCTTTCAGAAAGGGATGTTCTCCCCATTACCTGCTGCATCTTATTTCCCTTATTTATTCATTTTTAAGTGGCTTTGGTGGTTTATTTTATTTTTAGAGCATGACTTTTACTGCCCAAGTAAACAATCTAAAACGCAAGTACTGTTGCATCCTAAGCTGTTGCGTGATGAAGGCGTGACTATACAGCTGGGATATTTATAAGTGTGTGTATATATAATAAATCTCTATTAATGAATGTTGCCATGGGCTCACTGTAAATGCCTTTCATTCTCAGTTTTAATACTTTAACAATAAACAGGCTCGCATTTTATATCAGTATTTGATTAGATTGACAAGTTCTGTTTGGCTATAGTTTATTTTATCGGCCCATATAGTCAAATCACTAGCTTTTCCTCGGTATTGTCTCTCGGGAATCCAAAATGTTTCCATGCGGTGGAAGACAAATGTCTTTCGGTGACCAGTTCTTATTCGTGTTTCTCCACCTCACTAATTTGTTAAATTTCTCACCAATGTGCAACAGTAATCAAATGAGTGAGTCCTACAGCGTAGATGGAAATTATCGTGATTGGTTCAGAGAGTGCATTTATTTGATTTATTTTCTTATTTATGTGTGTGTGTGTGTGTGTGTGTGTGTGTGTGTGTGTGTGTGTGTGTGTGGATAATCTCAAAGGAACGCTCATTGAAATTGCGAAGCTTGCCAAGTTTTGATTCCTATGAGTAAAATGTTTCAGCTTAACCTATGGATGGTCAAGCCAGACCATCGCTGTCTTTGGCGATGTGACAGTCGCATATGCATAACATGCGATGTTATTAACAATATGCATCATGCAGGCCTCGTTTCCATCCGTCCATTCTGTACTGCTCATCCAGTCCAGGTTGTGGGGGCAGTAGTCTGAGCAGAGGTGCCCAGATCTTCCTCTCACCAGCCAGCTCCTCCAGAGCGATACCAGTGTGCTCCCAGAATCTCTCCAGCGTGTCCTTGGTCAGCCCCAGGGTCTCCTCCTGGTAGTACATGCCTGAAGCACCTCCCCAGGGAGGCGGAGCCTAGTTTCAGCTAGGAGGAAAAAAGTGACGCATCAGATTTCTACTGTGATAGATGGTTGCAGAGAATATCATACCCGTTTTTTAAACAGGTTAAAGTGTGTGGGAAGATTTTATTTACTTTGAACAGAAGGAGCTGTGATCTAGATTGCAATGTTTTTTTTGTGATAATTTGGAGTATTTTGACATAAAATAATACTTGACCTCCTCTTCCCTCTTCCAGGCTGGTGGACAAAGCTCAGCTTGACCAAAATCATCCACCAACTTTTATTTTTGTTGTTTTCAAATTTACTTTAAGTTACATTCCAGATGCTTACTGTATTTTTTTTTAACAATGTGTAATATGTTTACTATGGGTTCACTCCAGGGAACATGAGATCTTAAGATGTACATTTAACACCTGGTGCAATTTCCAAGCATGACAACTGTGATCCAGAGTAGCACAATTGTCAAACATACAGAATCACTTTTGGATCAGTCTTTCAATAAGTTCCATTGCCAGTTAATTTTTTTTAGATTTTAATATCACCACCCCCCCCTACAATTTTTGTTTAATATCTTTTATGCGGGGGGGGGGCAGCCAATTCATCTGGGGAGTTCAGTAAATGTCTGGGTCTGCACATGCTCAGTGTGGCATTTCAGGGCCTATTGGACCAACACCCCAGAACATTCTGTAAAGAAGACTAAGCAATAAGTGGCCGCAGTGGTCTTCCATCTCGCCCTGGGTTTTCGTCCGGCCCGCACCGCGACTGGACCTTACCGTAATGTGACTTCTTGCGAATTGCCTTAAGCGGTTCAGTAGGCTGTGTGCCCTGTCAGGTCCCAAAGCAGCCGTGTCCGTGGGATCCCGGCATGACAAACGCCACCAGGGGAACTGAGTTTGCCTTACAAAGTTCAATTTTTCTTAAACGGGTGGGAATGTGGAGGACTTGTAATAAGTGGTGTAATTTGCATGCATAATTAAAAAAAAAAAAAAAAGTAGGTCAGCCAAACACTCTTGATTTAAAGGGTAAATCATATTTCTGGAGTTCAGGTCTGGATGGCTACACTCTGATCAGATTTTGGATTGTTGAGAATCAGTGCTTGTCGATTGGTACTGAAGTCATACTTGCAGTGGCCTGATAGCCAAAAATCACGTTTACATACTGTGTTTCAGTTCCAGGATCATTTAGAATGTTCCCTTATTGGTCCAAATAAACACCTCTTATGCCATAATGTGATACGATGTAGTTCCAACATCAAACAGTAGGGTTTTAAGGTACTGAAATGTATGTTTGTGTTATTCTTTGAATTGCACTGGGTGGTCTGTTCTTACGATAGGAATTCTTTTTATTATGTGACCAAAGAGAGTGTTTTTGTGGAATGACACTCTTTAGAGACAATCTAGCTTAGAAATTCTGTTATGTGACCATATGGAATTGTATGAAGTAGACCATGAATTAAAGTCTCTCTTGCTGACTGATTTATATTTAAGGTTAAATTGCTCCATTTCCTCTGAATCATTTGCTGATAAAAGGCACAGACTAATTTAGACAAATGCTGAGATAATGAGTTTAGACTTATTTTAAACATTTTTTAAGCTATTTATGATAACTTTATTCCTAAATCAGTAAACATGTGGAGCACAACTATTTTGGTCATTTTAAGTTTCGGAGTGGCCGAATTTTCTCAGGATAATTGTGGGCAGCGGAATCGTGGAATGGTGAGAACTTCATTGTTGGCCTTAAAGCTGCAGCGCTATTGACAGGAAGTCGGTTATAAATCATGCTCAATGTCTTGACCCTGTTTGTGCACCAACAAAAAATCTTTAGTTCACTTGAGCACTGACACAGAATTCCTCTTTGACACTAATGTGGTTTTTGAATATACAGAACTACTTTTTAAACTAATTGCATTTTTTTTTTCTTGTTTCGCTTTGTACATGTTACTATTTTGGCTTTACGTTTACAGTTTGCTTTCACTGCAAGAACTGTGTGTATCTACACCTGCCCTTTCACCTCTATGCATTATTTTACCTATTTAATTTGTGGGGATTCTGGAATGGAAATGGGGGGAGGAGCCATTTATGCCATAAGTCAGAATGTTTCCTTGTTCTTGCTTTATCTTGTCATGTACCTTTATTTAGGTCACTGAGGGGTTTATTAAACGCTTTAACTGCACGTCTTAATGGCAATAAGTTTGTAAACTTGCTTCCCTTATGATTCTTTACGTACATATTTTTAATAAAATACCAAAGGACTATTTGTATTGCTTTCTAAATTCTGTATACCAAAGGTTTTTTTTTTTCCCAATGGGAGGAAGTGGCTTCCTTGTGTCACCATGGCAACCAGTGATCATGTCATTGAGGCGATAAGATCCCTGCTTCCTGTGCATTTAATACTATGCTGTCATCTTTCCTTCCCGATCCACCCTGAACTGTCTGAAACTGGTGACAATCTGGCAACTCCTAATGTCCTGAAATGGCTGAATATTCACAATCGTTTGAAAAATCAACAAAAATGCTTTCCAGTACTATAGAGAAGCCCTGCTTGCGTGTGCCCGTATTTACAAGCATACCCAGACGCATTAACTTTCAAAACTTTTATTTTTTTGTAAACAGCTTGCAGTTTGACCAATACAAAGTGTGCAATAGAGTAATACGAGATGCAGTATAACATAACCCCAAAAAAAAAATTCCATCCTCCTTCCATGTTTAGAAGAGTCTGTAGTAATGTTTAGCTGAATAGTGTCTCTAAATCCGCCCCCAGAGGGCAGCCAGTCTCACTGGGGTCAGTGCACGGGGAGGGTGCAGCCAGCCCACTTGGACGGACATGTGGGACCGATGCCCTCCTGGTTGTCATCCCTGAGATCTGGGTCCTCTGTCCTTCCCAGGCTGGGTCACATACCCCTACAGGTCGTCCTCGTCCTCGCCCTCGCCGACAGCAGGGTCCAGGTCCCTGTCCTTGTGCTCCATGCTCTCGGTGAGGAACTCGTTCTGAATGCGCTCCAGCTCCTTGAGCTCGGCCTTCAGCCGCTCCAGATGATGGGCGCGCCGATTCCGCAGCAGTTTCATGGGAAATGGGTTCATTTCCACGAACGCGATGTTGTTCAGCTTCCTGTGGGAGTGAGAAGGTACTGACAGCCTGGGGGAGAAACTCATATCGATGCTCACAAGTCTGATACTTGGGGTTTGTTCAATCTACTTTTCAAATTCTGCATTATCTAGCAGAACTGGCATATTTCACACTCAGCCATTTATTTTGTACAAATCCCAGTCTTGGTGTGAAAAAACAAGTGCAGGTACACAAAAGATCCCTGGGGCTTAAAATGTACAACCCGAGTACATTTGTCACTACAGCTAAATCCATCCGTGCTTTAAGGATACTCCTCCACCTGCTGTGAATTATTAATCTTTGTGTCAAATCGCTTCTCCACCCTAGAATCTTGCTTGAAATAGGGCATCCCACAGTGGTAAAGTCAGGTGTGTGTGTGTGTTCAAACAATGCAAAATGACTAGTTAAAACATTTATCCAAAGTGAGGGAGGCCTGGGGGCGGTATTTCGCACAACCCTAGAGAAATCTGGGGTAAGGCCATGCTCAAGCGGGCAAGTGTAATATGATTACTCTGCCAACCATGGGATTTGAACACATGACCTTCCGGACAAAGGCACAGGGTCCAAATCCGCTGAGCTGCACACGGCCCCACAGAAAGGAGAATGAATCGCTGTGGCTCGAAGGGGTCTATCAGGTGAAGTGACCCAAGTCCTTCAACTGGCTTACCTGCCATCGGAGATGGTTTTGGTGAAGAACTGGAGATACTGATAGATTTCTGCAGAGTTACGGATCCTTAGGATCTCCTCCTCTTTATACCTGAAGATGGCCAGGGCGTAGCGAAATATCACCTATAGAAAAGCATGAAGGGAAGAAGAGGAACGTCTAAGGAGTTGATGGTGATGAACCGTGACATTTTATAATTAACCAAAAATGTTGGGCAGTATTACATGTTGCCCTCGAAACAAATGCATAAAGATTGCTTTCAGTCCAGCTAATCATCAACTCAGCTGGAACCGTCCAACTGGAGTATCTGTCAAAAGTTTGGACACGCCTACTCATAGGTTTATTCATACTATTCTCTACATTTTAGACTATTAAATATCATAAATAGAATTATGTACTGGCCAAAAACGTATTAAACAAAAAAATAGTTTCTTGGGGGGGCAGCTCTGTGGGTTGGGACTCAGAAGGTTGCCATTCAAATCCCTGGTTCGGCAGAGTGATCCCACCATTGGGCCCCTGACCAAGGCCCTTAACCACAGTTGCCCCAGGGACTGGCTGATCCTACTGTCCCCTCTACACCAGTTCCATGAGGTGGCCTCCTGGGATGCTTTTCCAGCTGTCCTGAAGGAGGTCCCACATATGCTGAGCCCTCATCAGCCATTTTTCCTTTACTCTCTGGTCAAACTCCTCCAAACCATTTCTACTGTGTTTAGATCAGGTGACCAGATCCTGTTATGCGACACTATCACTCTCCTTTATAAGCGGCTTGGCATGTCCAAACTTTTGACTGGTACTGTATTAAGTTGCTAACAGAAACTTTTGGGAAATTGGTTGGCTTGAAAGATGGGATTGAACGCACTGTGTTGTTCTCACAGGTGAGAATGTAGCAAGACACAACATGCTCAGCACTCAGTAATGCAATGTTTTGTAGTGGCCAAACGAAGCCTCATGAACTGTTTGCTGTATTTTCTGACCGCAGTAGATGGTGCTCTCTGTTCGAACATGCCCCTAAGCGAACCGAGAGCACCATCTAGTGGTGTCAAATAATACAGCAGATGGTTCATGAAGCTTTATGGCCGTCACTAATGTTTTTTTTTTGAGGGAAGAGCTTTATCTCACCCCACCTTGATACTCTCGTACAGAACGGCATCCCAGATGCGCAACAATATCTTGCTGGTTAAGCTCTCCACGAACACCACCAGGAACCAGTTGAAGGTGATACATGTCAAGTCCACACTGTGCTCTTCCAGGTGGGCCATAAGCCGGGGCAATTTCTCCATCATGATATCCTTCAGAACCCGCTGGTCTGCCTTCAAGAGAAGAACCAGTAAGCGTATCATCAACAGAAGTAACGGGTTTAATCACGTCCTGTGAATTGTGGCACCTTTGCTTGTAATCACAAGCTTTGACTTATAGACCTATACATTTATGCATCTGTAAGGAAGGTATTCTGGCTCACATACCTGGGAGGCAATCAGGGTTTTGCTGTAGTAATCCTGCGGCATGATGTTCTCCACCATGGCCACCAGGCACCAGAAGGCGTTCTCCTCATCCTTTAGCACCAGAAGAGCGATGGCTGCCAGTCTAGGTGGAGGGGGAACCAGGATTATTACATACAGGGTTTGGCAGACAAAATACATCTTATCATGCAAATCAAAATGCAAAATCATCACACATGTCAATGACTATACTGACAGGATAAATAACTGAGCCAGACACGGCAGGACCCTAATCCTACAGGTCTGGCTGGTTTGGATTTAATGAATCGGCTGGATGTTGACAAGTGTCCAGTTACAATGCAGCACAAAGGTCCCCGGTGGCCTCGGGGTATAAAAACACCATGAAAAAAACATATGAAGGGCAGCAAAGTAAGAGATTAGATTGCTGGAATGAATCGGACCATGACAGGCGACCCGCTGTAGCGAGCGCGCCAAACCCGGACGTCGCAGAGGGAGGTAAAACAAACCTTATCTGATTCGACTTCCCCCTGCCAGCCTCTTCCCGATCATCAGAGAAGCCATGTTTAAGTTAAAAAGTGCACTAAAATGTAAGCTTTTATTTATTAAAAAAAAAAAACCACTAAAGGCTTTTTATGTGGATAAGCAGCTGCTGTGTTTTGTCTTGGAGTAATTCCTGGACGATGGAGATTAAATCTTAAATTTGCATTTAATTTATGACTGATGCTGAGCTTAATCTCTGAAATATGCCACAGACTTTTATATAACTGTCGTACAGTACGGCCAGTGGCACCCTTATGTCACTTCATATATTTCAGAGTTGCATTATTGCTGGAAAATTATTCTTAAGACATAATGGGATGTGACATTTATATTAATATATTATGAAGCCTCATCTAGCCAAATTACAGCTCTATAATTCTGAGCGTTATACTAAACTCAGCACCTAGATACATACTGAACTGTGAATCAGGTAGAGTCTCCTCTCTGCTAGAAGCTTCTTAATTTAGGGCAGGGTTTAGGGGACCCCAGAAAGGAGCTGGGAGCGAGCAAAGCCATGAACCATCTGAGGCTCCCTGAGGAGCAGGTGGAGAAACACTGGCTTAAAGCAATGATACTAAAAGTGTTCTGTACTCTCCATCTCCTACAAACAGTATTTCATTGTTATATAACAGACTATTACAAGACAAACTTTGCTTGCTATTCTGCTGTTCTGTTGCTGTTCATTTGCAATCCTGTCTCTGAGTCAAGGCCCATTAATTTTTGCATCCAACTTAAAATCTCTTTTTGCAGCCCCGGGTGGCATCCAGGGGTGCCCCCCCAACACTTTACCTGTTGAGTCCCTGGCAGTAGCCAATGCTGGGGTTATGCCAGGAGAAAGCGAGCAGAATGCGGTGAAGCTGCTGCACGCTGGAGCTGGAGGCCGAGGAGAAGTGCTGGTTGCTGGTGAGCGTGCGGGGCAGGTCCAGCTGGATCTGCCGGGAGGCTGGGTGCTGCAACGTCTGGCTCTTCCTACACAGCTCCTTGTACCTCTGGGGGTGCCGCTCCCGGATCTGGCGCGTGCGGGTCCACACAATCCAGCGCCACACGTCCGCCCGGTACCTGCTAGGAATGCCTCCTCTCAGAAGGATCTTGAGTTCCAAGGAGGCCCCAAGTTCTCCGGCAGGACGTCCACCCAGGAACTGAGCCCATCGGCTCAGCCGGTGCTTATCCATGACCTCCTGCTGAAGAGGGTTGAGCGAGCAAATGTCCGGGGAATGGATCTTGATCATGAGATTCATGTCTTCTGTGTCAAGATCTGGGGTGAGCTTGAAGCCGTATTCATCATACTTGCTGAGTAAAGAAGAAGCACAGGTTATGTTAACTTATTACGCAATAAAAGCAGAAAAAGCACATTGGCTGGCCAGTTTCTTACTGCACGATATAACGTGTTATTGCTCCCTGTTAAAACCACACAAAACTCAGTTGAAACAGACTTCAAGTCACATGTTGGGTGATTGACCTCTCTGGTACAATTTGGCTGCAATTCGGAAACTTTCTTTTTACTTCTGGTTTTCTTCTTAAAAACCGATCTAGCAACTGAGGAAGCAGGATTTGAGTAGCTGCTGCAGCAACGTGACCTCACCGGACAGGGGGGAATTTGGGGGTGTCCTTCATGTCCCTCTCTGCCTCCTTGATCAGCCGGTTCACCGCTTCCATCTCCGCGGCACCAAATTCCTTGTTCTCCTGTAGCTTGTGTAGCAAACTCAGGTAGCGGCTCTCCGTCTGACAGCTCTTTCCCTCTAGATAGGCACACTATTGTCCAAGGATGGCGTGAGTCTCACCAATGGGTCCTCAAGAAATGTTGGTGCTGCCGTCATATCTGAAGTACATTCATCCATCCATCCACCCACTCATCCTCATGACAACTTATCCTGTACAGGCACCATAGGGCACAAAGTAGGGGACACCGCAAGCGGGAGGCCAGAACATCGCAGGGCACACACTTGCACACATAAACGTGCCCTATGGTCAACTGCGATGCACCAATATGGCTGACTGCATGTCTCTGGACTGCATGCGTAAATCCATGCAAACCTGAAGAGAATATGCAAACCGCAACACCAAAACCCAAAGACTGCATTGCTGCCCACATGCATCCATGACTATTTGCGACTGTAGCAGCATGGCTGCATTGGATTACAATGTAATAACCAATTACAGAAGTGCATTTTTATTTACAGCAGTAACTATACTGAGGTTCTCCTTGATTGTAGAAAGTTTAGACCCACTAGTCACACCAAAGTCACCGTTATGTCTGTCGGGTCCCTGCTTCCCCCTGCCAAAACCTACGGAGGCTTTCAAACTCATCCTACAGCAGGGGTCTCCAACTCCGGTCCTGGAGAGCTACTATCCAGTAGGTTTTCTATCCTACTTGGCTTCTGATGAGCCACAACTGCTCCTGGTATTTACCTGAGACCAGGTGTGGCTCATCAGAAGCCGGGTGTGATTGAAAACCGACTGGATAGTGGCTCTCCTGGACCGGAGTTGGAGACCTTTGTCCTACAGCATCAGCCCACAGCACAAGTTGGCTCACCCTCTTCATCAGGATCTTCTGTTGCTCCGAGCTGTTCCGCCACAATTTGGTCAGCTGGTGAATCTCAGAGTTCAGGAACTTGTTCTGCATTTTATAAGCCTCTTTATCATCCTGGCAGGAGATACAAGTGAGACTTCAAATCTATTGCCATGTGTGACCTGCAGACTACGATTCCCCTCAAGTAGTTGGGTACAGTACAACATCACGTACTAGAGGCAAGAGTGAATCTTCTCTGTATTTTGGACCTGATGCTGCTGAGGACACTGTCTAACATCCCATAATCTCAACAATTAGTACCATGATGTGGACTGTGCATTTTAACAAAGCTTGTTATAACGTAAAATAAAAGTCTCATCTGAATCAACAAGGAAAGCTAATATCACTTGGAGATTCCTCCACCACAAGAGAAGTGTCACTCCCCGATGGTGGAATGAGCTGCTGAACCACATACAGTCATCAGACTCCCTCTGCACCTCCAAGACACGCCCCACCTGTTCCAGGAACTCCTCTACCAGCCTGACGCCTCTACATTCCCTGAATGCTCTTATGGTTGCACTTCTGGTCCTTGAATAGTCTCATTAGGTTCTTGCTTTGTTAGAAGTTTTGGTGTAGCTCCTGCTCCAATGTTGCTTACACTTGTACCTGGACATTCACTGGAAGCTCAGTCTAGCCTCATTGACTCCTTGACAGCGGATACATTTTGAGGGACATCCCTAGTTAATTTATAGTTATTTAATTATTTCCATTTAGTTGTTTTTCTTAATTTTATATTTCTTTGTATCCTTGCTACTTGCTCATCCTGTTCTTTGCCTATCTGATACAACTCACTCTCACCAAGGACGTTTGATCCCCTGGCCCAAAGAGTCTGTACGAAGACCATAGATAAAGGGCCCGTTTCCCTCGGGGGGGGGCAGAGACAGACACAGACTGAACCGGCCGAGTGTGAACATATTTCTGTAACATCTTCATTCTGTCTTAATAAACTGCTTAAGCTTAAGGAACCTGCCTCGTCATTCAGCTCTGAAAGATCCTGAGGATTCACTGAAGAAACCTATCAGTTTGTGATGGGCTTTCTGCCTCCCTTGTATGTCGCTTTGAACAAAAGCACCTGCCAAATACGTAAACGAATATGCTGAGCCTTTGATCTGTCTTCTTGGAGAATTGCATTTAGGTCCTGCTCTTACCCGGAGATGCTCCATCTCCGCCTGGAGCTGAAGGAAGCCCTGGGCACCAAAGCTGTTGGTGATGGTGCGCTGGGGATCCACCATGCACTCGGCCACCTGCTCGGACAGCTTGAGCACCACCTCCTGCTTGGCCTGGTTCTTCTCCACCATCAGCTGCAGGTGCTCCTGCAGCTCGGCCACGTGGGCGTCGCGCTGGGCTAGCCGCAGCTGGAGGACGGCCAGCTCGTCACGCATGTCCAGCAGCTGGCTGCCCATCTCTGGTCCGTCACACTTCAGGGGATACGGCATATCGGGCTGCTCCTGTTTGCCGCTCGGTGCTGAGACTGCCGTGCACTGACCATCTTCTGGTGGCTTCTTTGGATGTTCCTCCTGGGAGACGAAAGAAGCCTGATGACATTGAAGGTCAGAGAACCTATCGGATGACCTCCGACCTGACTGCAAAACCACAGTGACCGGACAAAGTTCGGTCAATCTTTTGCCACCCGGCTGCGGATGAGATTTTGCATTTTCAAATAGCTATTTCCACGTCGCGTTGTGAATTTGGCAACTTGACCCCAACATTCTGGCTTGTTTTTGTCACACATAAAACTTCCTATTGCGTCTCGGAACACACACACACACACACACACACACACACACGAGACAAGATAAACAGGTTCTCAACCCGCCTGGGAAGCCTCCAATACCCTCAGATATTCAGGTGACTGATACAACCAAACCTGGCCTTTCGCAATTTCTTTCAATCAGTAAACAACTGCAGCCTTTGTAAAACAGGAAATAGGAAGCCCATCTTCTCAACACTGCAGCGCACATCAAACATTGACTACGTGTCAGTTAAAGGATCAGGTGGAAGCTGGAGAACATTTAAAAGGCAGCTCAAAGGTCTGTGGAGGCCTCATGATCAACGAAAAGTGCATGTCATCAAATTAAGATACCAGAGGCACCACAGTAACAGATTATATTGCTTGAACCAGTCGGACAGGAAGGTTAATAGCTTCTCTACCGTGACAGACAGCGCTTAATTTGTGTCGGATCCTGCCGGAACGCCTTTCCAGGACCTCTGTGTATTTGACTGTGCCTTTTGGCACCTATTTACACGGGTCCGGTAGCTCAAATGGTAACATTAAAAAATTAAATAAGTATGCATTTTAATTTACAGACCAATTTTCACGCAAGTCCAGGTCCCTATTAGTTTAGGTTTATTCTTGAAAACACATAGCATGTTTTCTGCACCGTGTTTTGTGCACCTTCCGGGACCTGCACCCCCTCTGCTCACATATGCCCTTCGCATTCTGGCGTTTTCCAATTTACAGATTAAGCACTGGTGACATGGGAGCCGCCAATTTCACGCATGGCAGAGGGAGGCGATTCAAACCTTATCGGAGTCGACCTCCTGGCTGTGGGCCTCCTTATCTTCAGGCAGAGCATCGGAGATGCTTTTCTTTCTGCTGGGTGGGGAAGGGGCCGGGGAGGAGGACGGGGAGGAGTGGGAAGGAGATTCTGCTGGATGCTCGTCTTGGCCTGTGCAGTCAATAAAACAAGAGGTTGGCTGAACTTATGGAGAAGAGGCTGGCGGGTCCTGCAGGAGATAATTAGGTGGCCAAAGGCTGCCTGGCCTAAATTCCGCCCTGGTTGCCAATGTCCTGTCAGGGCTGTACCCAGAGGCGTCAGAAATAGAGGGACGAGTGTCCCCCCCCCCCATATCAGCAGATATTGAAAATCTCACATCACAACCTTTCACGATATAACTATTGCATGTGTACCCATTGTGATTTTGCAATATACATCACCAGGTGGGGTGGCCCCTCCCCTCCCGTACCACATAGCCCAACTAGAGCCAATAAACAAAACAGGCCTGGCAACATTAGCATTAGCACTGGTGGGGCCATTTGACTGGTTTAGCATGCTGTGCCTGTGATTGGATGGTTGCCAGTTGGCGGAGTGATGTCATCGTTGGGCCCCTAAGCAGGGCCCTTAACCCAGTTGCTCCCAGCACCGTCTGACCCCGCTTTCTCAAAAATGTATGTTATTCTGGATAAAAGCATCTCTTACATAAATAGAAAGTATATATATATCTGAAAGACGAGGTTCTAGAATGCATTATGCATATGGTAGGAAATCAAACCTGAAATCACCAAAAGCATCATTAGTAACTGAACAATAATAACCACTTTTTTGTGGTTTTCAAAATTTTCGTAATGGAGATTGAACTTCTAGACAGTTAAAGAAAAGATCTGACTGCAGACCTCATAAATGACTGTAGAGCTCTTACATTTAAGTATCTTTCTAGGTGTTATACAGCCACGGAAAACATTAAGAGACCACAGCACATTTTTTTGTTTCACTCATTTCTCAGTTTATGGGTTTGTGTCTATACAAATAAATTATGATGCTAATGTACCAGATAGGTCCTGATTCTCCTGCACAGGAGACGTGAAATCGGAGGGACTGTAAAAGATGCTCTTGTTCATTTCCTGGGAATGGCGTTTCTGCAGAATGCAGTGCACGGAATTCCTGGGAGAGATACAGGTGGTGAGTAATCACAGAGCTGCCCCCGCTTTGTGCACAGGAGCACGAAAGAGCTCAGTGCTGGAACAGACATCGTCAGAGCGGCTTAAAACTGTTTAGGGAGGAGATCGTGCTCTGGCGTGCTCTGCCATCTTACAAAAGACAAACGAGTCTGTTATATCCATATCAACTTATATATATATAAACTATTCTGAGCATGAGTTTACATAAATATCACAAAAAAAGAGTCTCTTGGTAAACCTATGACTTGCATACATGGCACAGGCATCAAATCTAGTGCTCAAAATACACAAAGAAACAATGGCTGCGAAGAACTGATTTCAGATTTTGATTATCTCTCCGCTCTAATTTCTTAAGCAGTTCAAAGGCAGGTAATTCACAGCAGACTGATTGCTTCACTTCTATCCCTAAACACAATATCAAAGGACTGAAATTATAGGGCATGCCGACAGTGAATCTTCCACAATCTAATCATACATACTAATTAACTTTATATTTACTGGTATTAATTAGAAGCCAGTAATTTAATTTCTCTCCAGGGATTAATAATTAATAAAACATAAATGATAATTATATTATTATTATTATCTGTTTCAAACAATCAATAAATCTAATGGTGTTTTTCCACTGGCTTACAGGAACCGAATCATACCCGACCTGTACCACAAACTAAGACTAGTTCCAGCACAGTTACAGCACAGTTCCAGTTCGAGTCGGCTTTCCACTGCATAAGGGTCGGCTCAGTAAAGGCAATGCTGAGTTTGAGCGACAGTGACGTAAAACTAAAGAGACACTTATTTACTGTTCACACAGTTTATGTCAGGATTTACTCTGTGCTAAGTTCTGTTAGCACATCTGTGAGAATCGCTGTGATATGTTACTATGAAAAGCTAGTGGAATTAGCATTCGCTTGTGTAAATTTGTGTTACAAATCCATTCCATTCAGCTGGTGTACAGTACTAGTGATTGGAAATGTGCAAGTTCCAAGTTTCGGGAATGCATCGGAATGTGCAATACTCCTTATAATGAATAATATATAGACAGTATTGCAAACTTTGGTCAGCTAGCTGACGTGAGATTTTCAATCCGAGACAAGTCTGCACACTCATTAACATGTATTTAACAGTTTTATTAATTGTAAAGTCTGTATGATTTGCAAACTACCCCAACGCTTTTGATGTAGCTAATTTAAGGTTTATAATGAAATATTATAGATTTGCCGTAAGATTTCTTGAGTGAGCGTGAGAGTCAGAAAGCACGAGTGTCACGCCAGATGCGTGAGAGTTGGCAGCCCTGTACAGAACACTTCTTCCTTCAGATAATCCATGTGAAGAACACCGGTACCTCTGTGCATCTCAACCAATCAGAAGGTGCTGATGCAACCGGCTTGGTTGGGTCACGCTTTCGGCCGTTAATAAGCAGGGCTGTGTCAGCATAGGTACGGGTCAGTTACAGCTCGCATACTTTGCAATACTTTGCATTTCGCAGTACGGGTTTGGTACGGCTCAGTTCCTGGTGGCAGTGGAAAAGCACCATAAACCTAACTCGGTACTATTTTCATGTGACGATGCATGTAGATTTTGTTTGCTAGCATGGAGAGATAGAGCTTAGTGTTGATTAAGGACTGTTGGGTCACACATGAATTGGACTCACTGAATCTGGGTCAGCGGGTGCTTGAAGGAAATGATGCTCAAGTTCGACTGTTGCCGTGGTGCCGGAAAACAGGCAGCTTTCTGTCCCACCAATCCGGGAGGGGTCTTCACGATGGGCAAGAAGTCATCTATGTGAGCAGGGCAGAAGACACTTAAGACGTCAGGGAGAAGGTGAACAGGAGAAAATGGAAGTCAAGCAGAAGAATCAAAGGCAATGAATGGTTCATACATGACCTTACCATGTTCATACCATCTACTGTAGCTCAGGAGTGGGGAACCTGTTTCGTGGAGGGCCGGTGTGGGTGCGGGTTTTTGGGATGACCTCTCAATCAGCCAATAACAGTGGGTCCCCAGGACTGGAGTTGAGAACTACTGCTTTATCATTGGTTGATTGAGAGGTAATCCCAAAAACCCGCACCGGCTCTCCATGGATCAGGTTCCCCACCCCTGAGCTAGCAGATGCTTTCATCCAAAGTGACGCACAATCGAAAAAGAAAGTTCAGGTAGCAATTGTGCTTAAGGGCCCAGCAGTGAACTCACGATGCTGACCACAGAACTGGAACCGGCAACATTCCGATCATAGACATGTCGTAACCCGTAGCTACCCAACGCCTGCGGGATGTGAAGTGGTCAAACACAAGGCTGAAGTCAAGTCCTTCAGCACACCAACAAAGCCCAGCCATTCAGCCGTGCGCCTTCCTCACCTATAATGCAGCCTAACTTCGCCACTTAACTATCATTTTATTAAACGATAAAAATATATGAGGGTGGCACGGTCGGTTCATGGATAGCACTGTCTATCTATTTATGTACTTTGCCATATAAAATCACAGCTCTTCCACATTTTCATCATTGTCCGAGTTTGGTAGCCTTTAATAACCTTTTAGTGAATGTTTGTTCTAGCAATACATCCTCATAAACAACAAAATATGGAAAAATCCTGAATTACGAAGTAGCAGCATTATTATTATACGATAACCGGTAATAACTTCTGTAGGGCTGCTGCGATGTGAAGTAACAGTTCACACACCTAAAAGTATGTCATTTATCTCGCACCACGACTTGCATAGTCTGAACCCTATTTCTGCTCTGAGATCTTCAATAACATTCAGCGTGTTATTCAGCTAAAAGGGTGTGACAAATCAAAGCAGAACAGCACTCATTATATTCTCAGAAGCTGATGTCTTACCTTGTCTTTAGCGATATTTATTACTGGGTTTCTCCTTGAATTGAAGACCCGAGGTTGACATCCACTTAATTATTTACAAATTGGTTTAAATCGCATCTACCCCCAAGAAACATTTGTTATCACGTGACTCCCCCCCCCCCCCCCCCCCCCCACCCCCCCCCCCCCCCCCCTCCTCCGTAGGGCTTGGTTATGTTGACGCAATCAAGAAATACTTCACAAATGAGTCATTCCCGCCAGGCAGAAGAAAGACAGCAAGGATATATGCCTTTAACTCTGCTCAGGAGAGAAATCGTACTTTAAAAGCCTGCAGTGTTGGTTATTTTATGCTGTACTTCATGCCTTCTTAAGTATATTTACCAGATATTATTACACCAATTCTTATATTAATCTTAATAAATGGATGGTTTGGTTTTCCCAGCACTGAATTTTTCGATATACACTTAGTACATCTAGTTGGTGTTTTACCCAAAGCAAAATCATGTTTCCTACACTCAAACAGTTGGATATTCCGCTGATTTTACTGGACATTTTGCCTTGGCTCCGCCTTACTTTCTGCATGTTTGCTCAGCTACTTCCTGTCTGATTGAAGATGCACAACATCACTTCCTGAAACCATTGCAGGAACTTTGCGGTAAATGCCCCAGTTGTTGAATTAAGAAGGGTTGAGTCACAGGCATCATCAAACAGAGATCCGGGCTATGATAAACATACACGATAGCGCACAAGAGCCGCGCACAAGAGCCGCGCACAAGAGCCGCGCACAAGAGCCGCGCACAAGAGCCGCGCACAAGAGCCGCGCACAAGAGCCGCTTCAATGCACATTGCTGCCTGATGGTACATTCAAGATTCAAGAGATTTATTTGTCACATACAATACAACATGCAGTGAAATGTATCTCTGTGTCGCCCTTATTTGGCTGTGTAGAAATTGAAGAGAGAAAAGAAAAAAGGTAAGAAGTTACAATATATAAATACTATGTATGGAACCAAGTATGTAATATAAAATATACAGTGCAAATATACAATCTAAAATCAAGAATCAAAAATATAGTGCAAAATCTGAAAATTATGAAATATAGTGCAAAATTTGCAGTCATGAACCCATAATTTATGCTCTACAACCACCAATCCAAGTCTCACCCCAGAAAAGGCCATGAGATTGATCATTCCAAACACAAAGTCAGGGACAACACTCGAACCCTGAACGCCCAGGGTGCGAGACTGCAGTGCCCTCCACTGACCAATCCTTCAGTTTTAATCACCTCATTATATTTTTATCCAAATTTAAATATTTGCCGAGAATAGCCTGAAGTGCTAATTCTGTACAGCTTGGTGTCCACTACTCATTGCAAAAAATACTGTCATATACCATTTTGCGCAGATGTGAGTGAACCTCTAGTGTTAATCACTGCGCCCCCAGGCTGCCACGCCCCCAGTCCAGACTAATCCAGTTATGGTCCAAATCTTTTGGCCCTCGAATCATCCTATACCCCCCCCCCTTTATGGCACCCCCGTGATTGTTGTGTATTTTTGGGAGATCTCCCAGAAGTTTCTACCCATAGGTACACAACATACCACAGCATCAGCAAAGTCAAATTCCAGTGAAATTCCAGTTCCAAACCAGTCACTCGTCACCTCGAGAACAGCATCCTCTGGTTACAGCATTACGGGGCTGCTTGGCGTGTCTTACCGTCACCGTTCCAGTACTCCTGCCCACCTCCCACGTTGGCGTCCCCGCCGGCCTGCGCAGACGCATGCCCGTGATGCCATCGCCTCAGCTGCAGCTGCTGCAACCAGTAAATCATGGCGTCCCTATTGAAGGCCTGCGAGAGAAACACCATAAGGTCCCAGGTGGACAGAAAGACTCATGCAACTGTTCTGTATGTGTGTGTGTGTCTATATATATATATATTTGTAAGCACAGATTTATGCAACGCTGCATATTATTATTTAATGAACATTTCCTGGGTTCCCCCACACCCAAGAACAAAAATCTCAAGATTCTTCAAAAACTAGACTTCTCTACATGGATGTCTTACTCCACATCTGTCACACATCACTACACATCACTCCACTCAGATAACCAGAAACCTTCCCATAATTCTAAGACCGGTGCTTCATTTTCCGTCATTTCCTAATCGCTCAGTCCATCATAGGGTCACAGGGGGCCTGCAGCCTATCCTAGTAAGAATGAGGCACAAAGCAGGGGTGGGGGGGGCGCATGGGGTAGGATGCCAGTTTATTTATGGCTGACACACTGCCGCCAATTTAGAGACACCAATTAACCTTAAAGTACGGGAGAGGAAATCTGATTACCCGCAGGAAGCCTGTACAAATGACAACACTGCTGCCCAACTCGCCGGTATATGCAATACTTACTGACAACCTTGTCGCTCATAAACATAAAAAGTACTTCTCTTAATAAAATGTAAAAGTGCAACACTTTGCTTACAAACAGCCCTTTCCTCGTGTCATGTTTACATGTCGCAAGCAAAATACATTCAGACAGATGTTTGTACCCCTGCCAGGTGGTAGGGCAGGAACCGAAGCTGGTACCTTGAGGACAACGGTGCGTTCCGGGGTCTGGATGTGGAAAGCAGCCTCCTCAGCATGGGCGGGGTAACCGAACACTGCGTTAGCCAGCTCGATCTTGCCCAGCGGGGTGACATCCTGTGCGGTCGTATAGTACAGCAGCTGGCACTGCTTCTCGTCGTAACAGAACCAGCGGCTCTTCCAGCTCTTCAGGGGCCCGCCTTGCTTGTCCAGGTACCCGCACAGTTTGGTGGTAGGCAGTTCCGGGGACTTTCGGGGGCCACACGTGGGGGAATGCCCCCCTGCGGGCTGACATTGGCGGGACGGATTACAGCCGTTCACAGCCACCCTGGTCGGGCTCTCTGTTGCAGTGCAAGGCTTTAGCGTGGGGAGGTCAGGCTGAAGAGGCAGTGAGCTCGGATCTGCCGGACCGGGACCGTCGCTCTCCATCACACTGAACGAAGAATCAGTCAAACTCAGAGTTACGCAGCTCGAACCCGAATTTAATGCGGCATAATGCAGCTATCTACCCACGTCCAAAACTTAAATCTAAACGAATACTTCTACAAAATGTCAACTTAAACTAGCATTAAGCTTTTCCCTTTCGGGTAAAATTTGGTTGTCAGCAACACCCCCAATACTTCTGAAACACTGTTCTTACAGCCCGCCAATAGTCCTTTCTCACGTTTAACTTCACAATCCATCACCATTGGACTGACAAATCTTCTGTCTCTAGGGACTAAATAAGATTAACTTGAGTCATCAAAATGCTGACCAGAGCTCTATAAAACATAGATTTAATATAGCCTATTGGAGTTCAGTTAACAATACTGTTTGAAGCTGTAGGCTATTTTTAGTATCTGCTAAATACTGCCCTTTTCGCTTCTGTTTAAAATCACGTTTACTAGCCTGCATACTGTAATATTCTGAAACTGGTTAAAAACCTGCTACTTCTAAATGTTACATCTAAATGCAAAGCTTACTGACATGCCTTTGGAACCATTTAATTCACATCGCGTTTACCTCTCAAGAAAAGACCAGCTCCCAAATCAGATGGCTTTCCAGGATTTACACAGGACACCTCTTGACCGTGGGCTTCATTTCTTGGTTGTATAATGTCAGTGTCAATAGCGAATCATTCTGTAGACGCGTCCCCTTCGGACGCGTTTCGGCGGCCGGAGTTCAGCCTGCGCTCTCGCAGACCGCTCGCCCGAAGCCGCAATGGACTCTCCAAGCCTGCGCGGCTTCTCGGCAGAAACTTCCTGCAATTCCTTTCCGGCAGAGTCTTTTGGAGAGAAGAAAACGGGGGTGTTATTGCATACGGGTGTGCGAGAACCTTATTACCACATCGTGTCGGGCGGTGGAGATCTCGACAAGTACCTGCAAGACTTGAAAAATCCCCTGACTCGCGTAAAACCTGTTGCCAAGTACAATAATATGACGCTTATTTCCCGAGCGGTCCCAAGGGCTAGAGAGTTTGCCTTTTGCTCGTGTACTACTACACTTCAGGGGCGTTTAAGTTAAGGGGCGTACAGCAGGCTGTAATTGTGAGTCAGAACTATTTAAAGAGTGGGAAGGATTTTGAAAGTGAGATTCCATCTGCGATTTTCACCTCGGCTGCTCTGTCAGTATGCAAACAATTCATCTTTCTATAGGTATGCGGAGGGGATGGCAGTATTGTGCTGTTCTTCAGAACTGACCCAGTTTCACAGATGTTTACTTCTATGCTACCTTAAGACATACTTCACAAAACAGCATTTTCCTACTGAGTTGTAACTGATGAGTAAAAATTGATTATAACGTCATTGCCAAGAATGTTCGCCTAAATAGTAGGGGTATTAGACCTACTGCATTTATTAATTATACTTAGTTATAATGCAGTGTTTTAATTTGTTATTTAATAACTACTGATGCAGCAACTTTATCAGAAAGGAATGAAATTGATATATCATTAGATTTACTAGATACTTTTGTTTTCATTGTTTTTTTTTTTTTAAATAGTGTGGTGACAGGTTATACAATCAAACTGGTTTCCTGCAGTTCTTTCCAGTCTGATTGGTATATTAACCTCTTCTCATTCTTTGTAGGATATTTTGTTAACATTTTCCTAAGTATGCATCATAATGCATTATAATGCATTTATAAATTATTATAAACACTGCTATAACAACTTATAAAAAGGCATAACACATCACAGCCATGTTTATTATGCATTATGAATGCTCTATGAAAATCTCATCTATAATGCACCATAGATACCTTCATAATGCATTATAATGGTTGGTAAAAGAATTACGGATGCTTTGTACTGCATTATGAAGGTATATGTAGTGCATTATAGAAGAGATATATGAAAAGGTTATAGCCATGTGTATAATACTACATGAATGCATTATAACGCATTACGAAGGTATCTAATGCATTACACATGACTGCTTTAACTAAAGTGTTGCCAAATTTCTGCCAGTTTCCTAAATATCAAACAAGATGCCCAATATGGATCGTGATTCAGAGCTGGCTATATATTAACTGTTGAGCCAGACTTGAGAGTTTGAGAGAAGATCCCTTTTGTCACTGACAGACTTCAATCAACCCTGGAAATAGAATATATGTGATGTCACACATATATGGTGGCTGTGAACATCAGTGTGACCTATCTTGGAAAAAAAAAAACCCTACACATTACATGATTATATCGCATAGAATCATTCGGATTAAGGTTTATCTGTGTGACTGGCTAAGTTTAGCCACAGCACAATGCTACTCATTCATATCTACTGACACAAGGTAAATTATCATATATGATGATTAATTTGCAAACTAATAGCATCCCAACCCTCACTCTGCTGCAAGGAAGATGTAGCTGAACAAGGTAATACGAATAAGATGCCAAGAACTCCGTGCTGCAGTGTCCTACAGACTCATATGGATAAATCCATCTTAGAGACATCGCTGGGCAACACAGAAGTAAGGCCTCTGATGACCCGTGATGATCCAGAAGAAGAGTAGAACATCTGATCACTAAATCAATAAGGCAACTTATTGGAAAAAGAAATGACACCATAATATTAATATAAAGTTAATTTGAATGAATCTAAAATGAATATAAGATTGAATGCATGTTTACTAGACTATATTATTTGTGATATTTATTGAATCTTGTGATTATTTACTGGTAAACGTACTTAAAAAATGTTTCACAGATTTGCCCGAAGTCGATATTATTTTTAATTTTGGGTCAGGGAATAAAATCTTTGCATAGCGGTTCCCTGTACAAAGAGAAATCTGAGATGACTGATGTCATTGTTTTTACCGGGAATTTCCAGGATTAGCTTCACCATCCAGAGGATGTGTTTACAAGGCTTCTGGGCTGGTAAAACAATCCCCTAAAAGCGTTTCAGCCTGTTCATTCTAACTGCAGACAATGCCTGGTGACGTTGTCCTTTTAGCTGAGGTCTGGATAAGGATTTCCGGGTTTTGTTGACGTCGTCTGCAGTTTTTCATGGATTTTCACAAAATGCAGTAGCACTTGGCGGCAGCTTCGCCTGACAGCTTCTTTATTTGGATGGTGATGTGAAGTGTCACATGTCTCCGCTGGGCCAGGGCTGCACTGGGACTCTCCGCTGGGCCAGGGCTGCACTGGGACTCTCCGCTGGGCCAGGGCTGCACTGGGACTCTCCGCTGGGCCAGGGCTGCACTGGGACTCTCTGCTGGGCCAGGGCTGCACTGGGATCCCTCCTTGTAAATTTTATTTAGCACAGAACTGGCAGGACGGTAGTTTCTCTTACACAAAAAACGTTTTGAAGGCAGATCATTATTGTGTATGACGCTCAGGTGGTTCCCAAATACAGTGATGGTCTAGTTTCTCCTACTATTGACCTTTCCCGATTGGCCTATTGAAGTTGGGTATACAGATCTTAAAGGTTTTCTATTCCAGTCGCACTGCTAGGAATCACAGTGTTACAGGGTCATGGACCTAAAATCTTTCACCATAATAGTCAAAAAGCATTTCATAGCCTGTAAAATCACTTCCCTGTTTATGAACTACAACATCCTCTTCATAAGCAGTACCCCCGTCCCCATATCCTGACTTCTCCGCTTCAAGTAATGACTCACCTCTCTTTCCTCACTGCAAGCAATCCACTGGCAGGGTCTTTTTTCAGTAAAACGATGGCAAAATAATGTGATGCAATGCAGGGTACACATACGCCGGGTAATGAAACGCAGCTCGAATATTAAATAAGGGATGTGGCCAGACAGGACGGAAACTTCCCACAAGACCAAATGCTAATTTAATCACTTCTCTAGCCACTGTTAATTCAATCTCTTCCCTGTCACCATAGTGATGCCAGACGGAATGTTCATTGGCTTCCTGACATTCCCATGATTTCCTGTCTGTACTCAAACCACCTACCATGAGCACTGGGGCCTCCTCATGCCGTGAGTTTATCTCTGCTTCCCAGCCTCCCCCATCCCATGTTCCCTCTTCCCGTGATTCGATTCAAGAAGAAAAGTTAAAAATCATGTTTTATTCATACGTGTGTGAACTCTTGGGTCCCTCTACGTTGACTGCAGTGTGCGAGTGTGTGCCCTTGCCATGGACTGGCATCCGGTCTGGGCCACCCCACCCTCTCCCCACATCCCGTGCTTCTTGGCATAGGCTACAGACTCACTGTGATCCAATCCTGGTAAGAATAAGAGAATAATAATGAGAGACTTTACTGTCATTGTATCAGAAATACAACGACATTTGTTTGGTAGCCCACGGCTCAGCAGCAAAGAGGTACATTAATGTACCACATTAGTATAAAATACAGTCTCGTAGACGTGGTATAAATATAAATAAACCTAATATAACTATTAGTAAAATACAATGTAAAAAATATATTCCCTAAAACAGCCTCTATCTAAAAAATTGACCATTGTTTGAAAGCTGTGGGACAGATATATCATCTTCTTGTATTCTGAAGGCAATCAGAGTATTTATTTGAGGGCCAATTGAGCAATATACACTGTACTTAGTCTAAAAAAGAAACAGTACTCAATTGCTTATTGACAGTCTTGGTAGCCAAGCTGACAGCAATCAGCCAATCAATTTAGCATTATTCCTCAGGTCTAGGAAAGAAAAGCATTTTTAATCAGTGTAAATCAAGACATCATGTAGAAGACATCAGTTCTGCTAGTATAGATCCTCAAATCCAAACTGTGTTTTTTTCATTCAGGTACTGCAATGATCTTGTATTTTCCTATTGAGAAAATGTTGTCCAGCTCCTTCTGAAGGCGCTAAGTGCTCATTAATTCGGTTCATCACGCTAGAAGACCTGGTTCTAGGGTATTCAAAAATTCTAGGCAAGAACAGAGTTTCTGGGCAAAGAAAACATGCCCAGACAATAGAGATGACATTCCTCTTGGTAAGTCTGTAATTCACAGTGTAACAAAAGGGATTCATGTTTTAGTCCAGTTCTGGAGGCAATACAGCAATGAAAAATTATGTATTAAGTGATGACGGAGCAATGAAAATCGAGCTTTGTATCCCTCAAAAGATGAATGAACAATGAAAACACACTGCGGCACATTTTACAATTTTTTATTTCGGATCACATCCAACTGCAGATAACTGAAACCGTGGATGGTGGTTTTCTACCGTATGTCCAGTGTGGCCATGTTGGATTAGACAGGAACAAACTTGTGAAAATGAACCGCCAATCAAAATTCACCAGAGCCCTCCCTCAAAACTGTGATGGGTGAATATGATAGTTTGCATTTCAAGGCTTATTTCATGTCAAGTGTGGCACCACTGAAAGAATGAAGCCAACAAAAAATCAATACAGGAAAAAAAATTCTCAGATTTACTGATTTATTGCCAAATTTCACAATATATCTATTTATGCACGCATTTATTTATTTAATCAAATCTGAATAATCCCTCCATAATCGGATGCGGCTCGTATACTTTGTAATGGAAATGTAACGGTTCCCGGTGGCACTGGAGAAGCACCATATATCATTGGAAACAAAGCAGCACTTTGCTTTAATGCTTTCCACTGCGTCAAAGCCTGGAAGAATTATTCCCAAATCACCAAAACATCTTCGTCCTACATTGATGGTCTTGCCAGGCGTGGGAATAGCATCATTTTCAGGAATGGTGTGGAAGGACCCATGGTCCTGGCATGATGTAGGTATACCCAGACAGGACCGCCAACACTGACCGGCAACACTGACCGCCAACATGCATGGCAGGGATGTGGAAAGTGTCAATCCTCAGTATGGCAATCTTCTCCTGGTTGGTGCTGGGTATTAGGGGTGGATCGCACAGGAGGACAGCGAGTTCCTGAAATTATACTGTAGCTCCTGTTTGAACACATATTCCCAGAACCTCTCCATTGCATCCCAACCATTCACTAAGCCATCGTGTAGTTGGTTGACGTAACTTAAGTCCTGCATGTCTAAAGTTCCCTTCCCAACCTCTCCCTGACCATGATCTGATGCGTTTCGTGCCAACCCAACCATGCTGGCAATTATGTATGAAGTTGCGGCATTTCCAGCAAACCCGGCTTTCAAGCACCCTGTCCCGAGATCCAGCACTACAGTGCTTGTTATTCTTTGGGGGGGGGGGCAGGTGCCTAGTACTGGTATAGCATTGGTACCTTGGAGGACCATGACCCATAAGCTGCTCCATCTACAACTTTACCCTCATTAATCCTCAATAATTTAGTCCTCACTTTACTTGGAATAAGTAGGGTTAGGGATAGTGGACTGGACAGCTCTTGTCCATGATCAATGGGATTACACCTCAAATTACCTAATAGCAGTGTTTCCCAATCCGGTCCTCAGGGACACACAAAACAGTCCACGTTTTTGGTCCATCCCAGCTCGCAAACATGTGGATAATCTGACAGGGAGTTGGGAGGGAGCAAAAACATGGACCTTACAGAAATCCCGTGCTCCTTCAGCACTGAAGGTGTGTGTTCATGGTTAAGTCTTTGTTAAAAATCTTTAAGTATGATCTGTCCCTCAAACAGCTACTATTGTAAGGCTCCCGGATGTCCTCTAATGTTTTGCCGGCAGCTTTTGGGTGTAAATGAGAACGTAGCTCTGGAATGTTCCAGTAAATGTCTGGCGGCATACCATAAAAGGGCTGAGGTTTAGCAGGGGTTCAGCATGACGCCATATCTAAAGGTAACTCCCAGCCAGCAAGATGGGGTTATGGGAAGGGATGATGAGGCAGTGTCTGAAAATGTATTAACCTTGTTGTGAGATTATGTACAATTTGGACCATTGCCTTTGTGGTCTCTAATTTCTTTTTTGATGGTGTGGATGAAATGCATGTAAGTTTCTTTAATGCAAAGAACGTTATGATACCTGTGTCCTTTAGTTGCATGCGATAACTGGTTTAATTATAAACCCAAGTAATAAGGCTGTTTATTTGGAAATACAGAAATCGACACGACAAATTCAAAGGGACATAAATGAAATCTCCATGACTGGTTCTGGACAAAATAAGCATAGACAACGTTTCTTGGGTTTCTACACCAATTACTGTAGTGGTATGACAATGAAATGTGTCTCCTTATCCCTGAAAGCCTCTTTCTGTTGGCTGGGGGGTTGCAGGCAGGATATGCGAAACGTGTCCCGCCCGCTGTTTTCTCTCGTAACCATCTGCACTCTTTCACCTGGACAGGTGAGATTTCAGGTGCTCTTTCACCTGGGCAGGTGAGATTTCAGGTGCTCTTTCACCTGGGCAGGTGAGATTTCAGGTGCTCTTTTACCTGGGCAGGTGAGATTTCAGGTGCTCTTTCAGCTGCGGGATGGTCGACATCTCCTTATGGCACTGGTGACACCGCAGCGGTAGCTTCAGTAACTCACCAGCGCCATCCTTCACTGATATATGTCCATCTTTTTCCAGCATTTCTATGACAGCTGTTTCGGAAAATCGTTTGCAAATCATATACACGTACTTTGGCTGCCAAAAACATGTATTATAAGTATTACGGTAATCTGTACTCAAATGTATTGTCCATTTAAATTCCATCATTAAGTTTATATAATTACTACTAGCCATATCAGCATAGACAAATGGGAATACTGAAGCGATTAATTACCTTACTATACGTTTGTCTGTCAGTAAATACTGGATGGAATCACAACCTACCTTGTGATTCAATGAAGTAGTCTGTTGTGAAGGAATTCCAGTGTTTTTTATTTTTCAGGCATGGGGAGTCAAAATCTTGACTGATGACATGAAGGTGAACATGACTGAGGGGAGGAAAAACACAAACATTTCAAACACGGGCTGTACGCTGAAATCTGGACTTGGGTGAGCAATCTTATCCGCAGAGGGCCGGTGTGTATGCAGGTTTTTGGGATAACCGTTAGGTCAGCTGTTCAAACCCAGGCATAAAGACTCTTCAGCCAATCAGTGGTCTAATTAGTGATCTAATTAGGGGTTTGCAGCGAAAACCGACATAGACAGCGGCCCTTTCTGGATAAGACTGCCCACCGCTGTATTAGATAAACCTGGAGGTCCCAGAGAGACATGTTGATTACTTTTCTCAAGCATGCAGTGTTTTCAGGTAAATCAGAACCAAATTCGGCAATGAACAGCAATAACCTTCTGAAAGCTGCACCCCCCCTTGTGGCCCAGTTAACCCCACCTGTCACCGTCTCCAATCCCCCTCACCTCATACTGGGAATGGCATGGTATCCCATGCGGAACTGCAGCTTGCCAGCAGTGGCGCATTGCTGCACCAGCCTCTCCGCCACTCGCTGCATGTGCTGCAGCAGTGCGCAGTGCTCTGCCCGCACTGCCTTCAGGCTGCTAATGGACTCCCACGGTAAAACCAGCCAGTGGTACCGGGCCTTGGGGTACTTGTCCTTGATGACGACCACCTTCTCATCTTTGTACACCTAAAGTGGCAAAGAAAGGTATGAATTTCATATTTAACAAACAGGAAACCACCATACAACGCTGAAGGTGTATAAATGCTTATACCTGCATTTTGGGATCTTGCATTGAAGTCTTCAGTCCCTGACTCCAATGACCTTTAGCCTCCTGATAAATAAAAAAAAAACATGAATCATTAAAAATTACTGTTTTTAAACATCGATTAGGAACAACAAACTTAACATCTCAAAAGGTTCTGCCAATTCTTAGCCCAAAAGGCAGTTGGGTTGGCGGTTAAATAAGCATCATTTCATTTGAGGGTAGTCCCCACAATACAGTAGCTCTAGGTACAGGTATCTGTTGGCTTCTGGTGGCTTGCAATGAAAGAAATGAAAGATATATCCTATGGCAGTGTTTCTCAACCCGGTCCTTGGGGACCCCAGGAACTTCCACATTCTTGTCCCCCCCCCCCCCCAGCTCCTTACCAGCAGCTGGGAGAGAGCAAAAACCTGGACTGTCTGGAGGGCCCTGAGGACCGCGTTGGGAAACACCGATTCATGAAACTAACACACCTGTGGCCTGTGCTACGAAGCGGGATTACTGGCTTATTGGGGTAACTTGTCGGATTTAAGGTACCACAGTTTAAATGGACTTCATATTCGTTCACTTACATTTTGCCCAGACTACCTTAAATCCAACAAGTTACCCGATAAGCCTGAAACCCCGTTTCGTAGTACAGGCCACTGCACAGTACCTGAAATGTTCCTTTTTTATTATTATTGGTGTGGAAAGAGTAAGAATCCACTGTAAACAAGTCATGGCCCTTAGATGCTACCACTTCAGTTTAGGACAGTCAGTAAATTTCCCTTGTCCTTGAGTACCGATTTAGCAGTGTCGTCAGTCTGCTTTTTCAGGGCACTTCCAGTGGCAGCTCCTCCGCTTCTGCACGCATCAGTTGCCTTCACTTCATTCTCAGCTCTAGACATCTTGTGTTTCTGGGTTCCCGCGCCCACGTCCTCCTCGGGACGCCTTTTGGAGCCTTGCCGTCTCTCGGGCTTGCAGCTGGAGCTGGCCGTGTCCTCGGAGAACTCCACCGCGTAGGCGTACAGCTGATTGACGACGTGAAGCAGCTGTCCCGGCTTCAGCTTCGTCTCCTTGCCCTTGCCCACGACCACAGAGTCCACGCTGGTGGGGTTCACACCCAGCTGTGCAAAACCAGGACGAGGAGAAGGACGCCTATTGACTTTGAGGCGCATGCCCATGTTACGACATATGCCTTATATTAACTGTACCTTCATAATGCCTTTATAATACTTTTGTAAAACATTCAGTGCACCTTCATAAAGCATTAATAGAACATTAATAAACAACATGTATACCTTAACATCCTAACATCCCTTAACAGCTTTAACATACATTAATAACAAACATGATATGATTATTCGAATATAATATTTTTAAATTAATGTATACTAAAGCTATTAATGTATACTTACATGCTGCTTATGAATGTTCTATGAATGCAAAACGAATGCATTATGAAGGTGCAGTCAATGCAAAGCGTCACCATAAATTTACAGCCATCTGTCCATCTTCCAACTTCTTATTCCGAGCAGCATCACAGGCAGAAGGCAGAACAGGATACCATTATTGACACTGTACAGTATAACAGGTGCAGACTGGCCATTGGGAATTTCCCAGTGGCCCGATCTAATGTGGGCCAATCCACATCAAAAAAGTAGCATTTGACAACAAATTCTGGTTCTGTTTTGTGCTGCCAGTCCGCCCCTGTTGTTCAATGACTGTCACCCCACCACACCCCATGAGTATTTACCATGCATCCATCCATTAACCTGCCCCGGCCCAAAACAACTGACTCTCCCTTATACTACAGAATCTCACTGTACACCATCAATGGACATATTCTACACTAAAGCAGAGTTATGCTCCGGATGGTCTGCGAGCCTGTTGTGGGATGCACCGCTGGTGATTTAGAGACACCAATTAGTTTAAGTGCATGTACTGCAGAAGGAAACACAATAAAAGCAGAACAAGTGGATGTGGGAACTGAACTCCCAAGAATTATTAAGCTGCCAAATTATCCACACTAGTGGCAAAACTTGTGGAAACACCTAGCATTTTTGGCATTATCCTTTAAAAATTACTACGCAGACAATGGCAGTGATGTTTATAAATAAAGAATGGTACATATATCATACACTGGACAATAAGTAACTGAAGTAACTGGAATACACTTCTGCGATCTCTAAAAATTGGACGTGTTTCCACGATTTTGGCCACTAGTGTATATCAGATGTGAAACTCAACCAGCCAAGCACTGGAAAAATAAAACATTACTATGCATTCTTAAATACTGCGCACTGGCACTGGCATGTGTAAAGAATCCCACCTGACCTTTGGTCAGTATTCATACCTGTTTCACATTTATGTAGCCCTTGTCGTAATCTGCTTTCAGCTCAACTGTTGGGACCCAAGTGAAGAGATTACTTTTGTTACTGCAAAGAAGGTTAAACAAATCACATGCAAATAGGCATCCATGTGTAATGCAATAATCTGCATGTCGGTACAGCAATCGTTTACCTAAATAATAATATTCCGGGATAAACATCACAGTTGCGGAATATCATGCACCTTACCTTGTTCCCTAGAACATTTTTTGTCCGCTATTCTAGTTTCCGGACCTCGTCCTAAGACCACTGCTTGGAGATGGGGTAATCCAATTGGTTTGTGACTTCCATCTTTCCTAATGAGCCAACAAACTGGCATTTTCGTCTAGGAAAATAAAAAATACAGTTTGTGATAAGGGTCATCATGTGTAATAAAATACATCTTATGTCATTGTTCTTCAAGATCACACTAATCTCGGGGGAAGAAACCAGACGCAGACGCTTAATTCAAAGATAGTTTTGCTAGATACGGACAGAACTACCCCTCAGACTATGCGTTACAGTTTGTAACAGTTTACACGTAACAAACTGTAAGAAATTATGACAAATAAAGACGTTCAGTAAACACAAGCTCCCTGTTGTCTAAATAGTTGGAAATATATATTTGGTAAAGCCCAGTACACCAGACAGATATATTTATAGGCAGAATACAACAGGAGGCATTTGCACGACTAAAACAATAAATTAAATCGGTTTACGACTCACTTTAGCAGCTAAAAGAAAGCTACAGCAAGTTAGAGTGGACAAACAGTACGAACCGTGCAACTGCAAAAACGATACTTCTCAACGTGCTTTTCCACCAGTGGTTAAATAACAGATTACGTTCCAAAATACAGTAGATATATTAATAACTAGCGTACATTATACAGTATGAAGCATTATGTTTTAAAACAAAACTGTTGCGCTATGGGTAATAATCTTATCTGAGCAGCAAGCTGTGCATGAGCGCAACTCTGACGTCATTATCGAGCGACAGCCTGAAAGCTCGTTACGTCACCACTTTGTGTTGGGTGGATAGAAAATCTGGATTCGACGAAAAGGACTGAAAGGAAGATTCTGGAAGCCGGGTTCGACGAAGAGGCGGCAAGTTATCGCGGGTATCATATTCTTCTTTGTCAGGTAAATTGCAGATCTCTCACTCTTGGGTTTCTTGTTTTCTTTAAAAATGTTAAACTAATACTAAACTAATACTTGACTTAAGTAGCTGTCAGGAAGAACCTACCTCGTTACGCAGAATTGGTGCTGTTTATCGAGCTAGCTATATATTGAAGTCATTGTATTTATGTCATCTTTATTTAAAAATATAAAAAGTAGCGTTAGAAATACTCGGATGAGGCAAACAAATGTTTTACATTTGCTGTAAAGTAAAATATTGCATATTGACAATATTTTAAACCAGGAAGCAATTTAACTGTGGTTAAAAGGCCTTGTTATATACATTTTGAGTGAATACTACAGGCTTATTTGTCGCTTATTAGACACTGGTCAATTTCCTCTTTTCACCTGTAGTTATATTTGTGGATTCTAAAGAGTCTGGTTCCTCTGTTACTCTCGGTAAACAGTCTCGGTCCCCAGTCTGCCTTGTTTTCGGTGGATCATTTTACTAATTAGACGAAGACCGCCCACGTTAATCTAATTTGTTAGTTATTCCTTCCCTAACAAACTTTTCTGGAGTAAGTTTCCTCGGTTTCATTTCGCTGTAAACAAACGTGTTCACTTCCTTGCGAAGTACACACTAATCGAATAGCTGATTTCGGCCTCTCTGCTTTGTTTTGGTCTTTCAGAGTGAACACTCTGATCATTAAAATAATCCGTGTTAACACTGAATCGTTTAAAAACATTTGTGTGATGCTTCATTTATATTCATCAGAATGAATGAAAGAATCCAATCAACGAGTGCAATCTTTGAATGCCTATTTGTTTGGGTGTTACTTTGTCCGCTGTTCCGGATGCTGTACAGTTAATTGGGAGGGGGGAAAGGTAAAACGATGATTATGGATCCGAATGTTACCAGTATAGCTCACAGGAGGGGTCAGGCTGTCTTGCCCTTCAACATGTAAATAACATGCACTGTGAGGCACAATATTGTACTCGAGGTTATGGTAGGGTGACCAGATAATCCATGTCAGGGAGGACACTCTGAGCTAGGACAGGAATTGTAAATTACCATTTCAATTAAACGGACTTGAATTTCACTTGAGCACCGAGTTCTTGCTGTGTGTTGATTGGTCAGTCTCCTATAAGCATGCATGTGTCACTAATGCTAATGTAAAACAGCTGGATGAGTCTTTCAGTCAAGGAAACAAACCAGTCAAAGCACAAGAAGAGCTGAACTCTTTAGCCGAGCACAGGAGCCTTTTAATTTGGAAGTAGTTTGTAAAACCCGAAGTAGCTCAAAGTGTCCTCCCTGACATGGATTATCTGGTCACCCTAGGTTATGGACTGTGGTTAACAGAATTGTTCTCTGCTCATCCAGCTGTGGTTGCGGAGGGGACAATGGTGAAGGAAACGGGGTTTTATGACAGGCTTGGGGTCAAGCCCAATGCCAGCGCAGAAGAGCTGAAGAAGGCCTACAGAAAACTGGCACTGAAGTACCATCCAGACAAAAATCCAGCAGAAGGGGAGAAGGTGAGTGTAGTTGCTGAAGGAAAACTGTGATCAGTGGAAGGAAGGGTGACCAATCACATTTGGTTGCTCTTTGTCCTGGACTCTGATTGGATGAACATACATATGATTCCCTTATTGTTGTTACCAAGCTACAGTCCATAGGTGAATCTCAGTATGCATACTTGACCGTACTTGTGTTCTCATGTACCCGTTTTACATCATCTTCCATTGCTGAAGACCAGTTCTAATACTAAGAACATAAGGAGAGAGGACTGTAAAAATCCCCATATGTTAATCTTGCTCCCCCCTGCCCCCCCCCCCAAATATCAAGGATATACAGTATTGGTTGTATCCTCGCTGTACGAGACCAGTCACATGATGCACCATGCCTCAAGCTTGTTCTTGGAAGGCATGTTAGCAAGACCAGTCTTGCCAAGACCACAAGTACGGTCTTTGCTTTCTTGATATTGAGATTCATCCCACATCACAACTCCAGAGCTATTTGGCCACAGCCACTGAGAATATAATAATCAGTGTTGCTGTGTTTTCTGTCTTTGTCTCTTATTTGTGTGGTTTATTGCTTGACGCTAAATGATGGTCACAGTTGTACTAGTAATCTGAACTGTTACTTTGTGTTCTTTCCGTAACATTTAAAATGCGGATAGATCAATCACGTGTTTCCTCAAAATAACCATTATTGTCCTTGCAGGCTTTGCATGTCGGTCACAGCTCTGCTGTTGTATACTGTAGCATCTTTTAGTCATTGTTAGAGGTACACTGTGAAATGTCATGTGATTTTTTTTTTTAAATTTTTTTATTTTTTTTGGGAAGACCTGAAATCAAATATACTGTCTGCAGTTCAAACAGATCTCTCAAGCTTATGAGGTGCTGTCAGATAAACAGAAGAGAGAAGTGTATGACCGTGGAGGGGAGAAAGCCATCAAAGAGGGCGGCACGGGAGGATGTGGGGCTTTTGGTTCCCCAATGGACATCTTTGACATGTTCTTTGGAGGAGGAGGGAGAATGCACCGGGAGAGAGGTGAATATCATGGAACATTCCGTGACTGTCACTATTGCACAATGTACTAATAAAGCATCCCAGTAGAGATTTAGATTCATCTACGGAGAAAGGCAAAATTGATGCAAAAAATGGATTCAGTTTAAAAAAATATATATGCAGTTCAGTCAAATAGTTACTTCAGCATTAGTTCAAATACAAGAACTCATGGCCATAGGTGGAAATTAGCGGGAGAACATTTTAAACTGGATTTGAGAAAACACTTTGAGTAGTGCCAGCTAAAACCTTGGGTTCCTTTAAATAAGAGCTAGATAAGTTATCTTATCTATATTATATTTTAACAACTCTGAGTATTAGTTAAGTTCTCCCCCAAGAAGCTTGATGGGCAGAATGGCCTCCTCTTATTTTGTTTTGTAAATTTCTTGTGTTCTTAAAAAGCTGCACTTGTGCTGCTGACCGTGTAATCCTGAGGTGTCCCATTGTGGGTTGTTTGTTGATTAGCTTCTGGTCCCTTTGGTGTGTTGCTGAATCTATGCTGACCTTTAGGGAAGAACATCGTAAATCAGCTGACGGTGTCCCTCGAGGACCTTTACAACGGAGCCACCAAGAAGCTGATCCTCCAGAGGAACGTCATCTGCGACCGGTGTGAAGGTGGGTGCCGTGGACCTGACAGGAGCGACAGAAAGTCTCACTGCCTCCCTGCTTTAGGGTTTGAAATGGTCAGTTACAAAGATACTGGGTACAATCTTTATACCTTCTAAGAATTAGCTACTAGATACATTATAGCTAGGTTAGTTAACATCTTGCCTTGCCACTCACCCATAATATTTCAAATATATATTTGGCAAATACACTTTAGAATTTAGAATTTGGTGATCAGTGGTCATTGTTGACACGCCACAGCACACAGTGCACAACAACGAAATTATTATTATTATTCGGGATATGTGTGTTGTTTTCTGGTAAATGAATATGAGAGCTAAAGAATGTGGTGGTGCCCCTGTGGTCAGGACGGGGAGGCCGGAAAGGGGCTCTGGAGACGTGTCCGTCCTGCTGCGGCTCGGGGCTGCAGGTGCGGCTCCACCAGCTCGGGCTGGGCATCGTGCAGCAGATCTCCACCATCTGCTCCAGCTGCCAGGGCCAGGGCCAGCGCATCAGCCACAAGGACAAGTGCAAGGCCTGCGGGGCCCGGAAGATCCTGCGCCAGAAGAAGATCCTGGAGGTGCACGTCGACAAAGGTTAGACGGCTGACGCGTCTTCCCTGCGAGCCATTACCCAGAAAGCAGTGCAACTTAGCGTGAGATTAAAGCTGCAAACCAGGCTAACTTAAAGTCGTTCACTGTGTGTGTGTGTGTGTGTGTGTGTGTGTGTGTGTGTGTGTGTGTGTGTGTGTGTGTGTGTGTGTGGAGAGATGCAGGGGGACTTGTGTTTACGTTTCTGTAAGGGAGATCTGATTGACATGTTGATAATGGATGCCCTATGACCCTGTTGACATCGTAAGCAGAGCAGCTGCCTGTGGATGGAAATGCCAGCACCTACAAATGCCGGCTTCAAATGCCCAGGTAATGCTGGACTGTTTGGTTTCCTCCGTCACATAAGCAGGAATATGCAGGAAAGAAGCCATATTCTCCATGTGACGAGTTTGTTTTCCATTAACACTAAATCAGTTCGCCTTCGCCAAACCAGAGAGAGACAAAACTGTTGCTCATGTTGGCTGGCATTTGTCTGTGAATCACCGTATCACAGTTGATAGCATGAAAAGGAGCTTGTGTACAAACACAATGTCTGGAAAAACAGGTTGTAGATTTTTTTTTTATTATTCATTTATTTTTTGTGATTCTGTCAGTTTGTGAGTTTTCAGTTTTCTGTCTAGGTTTCGTCTATCTGTTGGCTTTAGTTGAATATTTACTACTGAAAGAGGAATAAGACATTAAAATAGATGGTCAAGACCATTTATGCACGTTAAAAACACGGCAGTTATTTGTGCATTTAGGTTTGGATTCCTTTTTATAATGCAGTGTTTGTGTCATTTTTGAAGTCTTTAGACTTTGGTGTATACTTCTGTGCACAAGGCCTCCCTTTCCATTCAATTTTCTATTTATATTTTTATAATCCTATATAAGAGGTTGTATGTTGGCTGTAACGTCCGCACATTCAACCACTGAATTAACACTTTTGAGGGCATGACTGATTAAGTATTGATGCCCATTCTAGTCAGGAAATAGGAAATGCATTATCACAGAAGCTGCTTGGAGGTGGTTCTTCTTGGAATTTAGATGATGCACTTCACACAGTTGGCAGCTGGTGGAAGCCTGTAGAGCGCAGACTCGATCACTCCTGTTGTACAATCATACAGCACGGAGGGGAACACAGTCTGCTACAGTACGGGGGAGTGGCAGCGCTCAGGACCAGCCCGGTTGGCTCAGGCCCTGCTGATTTATCACCCATTCCTAACATTGGGGGGGGGGGTCAGCACTTAAATGGATAGGATTAGGATTGGGATTAGTGCAATATCACCAAAAAGCAGTTTCTTTAGCTCCTGTAGTTCAGGATCAATATACAGTCACGTTACTGACATTTTTAGAATAGAACCTATATTATTTAAGGACTCAAGTATGGATCTTTTGACTGTTAATGCGATTTTAAAACTTCATTCTTTCAACTTGCGGGATCTGGGATTTAGGATTACGCTGAAGTCGTTTTGCAAACCTCGTGACAGTCTGTGTTTTCCCCTCGGATTCTCTGTTGGTTTGGGGCACGCGTTTCGCTGCAGTCAGTAACGGTGAGTATTTAAGGCCCTTCCATGGTTCTCCTTTTGCGCTTGGGGTATAGGAATGAAGGACGGCCAGAAGATTGTTTTTCACGGAGAGGGGGATCAGGAGCCAGGCTTGGAAGCAGGTGACATCATTATCGTGCTCGATCAGAAGGCCCATCCCGTTTACACCAGGTAAAGAGAGGCAGGGTTTTCAGATTGATCTCTATATCTATGTACAGTATACAACAAAACTGAGTAAATGACCCCTGGCCAGTATCACAAAGACAGTAAATGACTTCAGATTGTATCATCTCTTGATTAGTGTAGGATATTTGATTTTATGCCTAAAAACAAACATCGTATCAGTCATCAAAAATAAAGGCGGACATACAAAATATTAAAAAAAGAGACTCCAATGTCCCTGATTAAGGGTGTCCTGATTTTATTGTTTTTGGTTTTTAAACATGCACATTTCTTTATTGTTTAATTGGCCAAGTATTTCTGTTCGTCAAATTAATTGATTTCATTCTTGTTGGGGTTTGGCTACAAGTGAAATCTATTAAATGCACAGGTTTTCTTGCTGTTTTAGTGATACCGGACAGTGGTGTACTCACTTTGGTTGTATACTCTTATGATAGCTGCTTACATTAATGGTTAATCTATATGTTTTTGACAGAGAGGGAGAGAATCTGGTGATGGCTATGGAACTTCAGCTAGTAGAGGCGCTATGTGGCTTCAAGAAGCCGGTTTGTACTTTGGATAGTAGAACGCTTCTCCTGACCTCCCATCCTGGTAAGTGTGTCACCTCTCGCCTGACGTCACTTAAAGTCACTTAACGTTACTTCTTTCCCTTTTAAATTCAGTTTGATCTGTTAGAATGTATATCCATAACACACAGGACTGTGTTCATTTTGTGGAAATGGACACTGTAATATGATTTGTAACATTAAACCAGAATTTCAATGGCTGAAAATGTTAATGCAAGTTGAAATAAATGAAAGTTGCCACTCTGTTATACAAAATAAATGAGCTGCTGACAATTTTGATCAATTTTAATATTTTAAAGCAAAGTAATTTGCATTTGTTTAAATCAAAGTAATCCAATTACTTTTGCCATCGATCTAGTTCCGCGTCTCGGTTGAAAAGCCACCCTGTTTATTGCTGTAATTTGTGCCCACAGGAGAACTGATCAGACCGGGCGACAGGAAGTGTGTCCTTAACGAGGGAATGCCGCTGTACCGACGGCCGTTTGAGAAAGGCCGCCTCATCGTCCTCTTCTCGGTACGTGTGCCTCAGCCCGAGGGGTTGGAGTAAGAGGTGCATCGAGCTGCAGTGAGGACAGGGAGCTGCAGTGAGGACAGGGAGCTGAGTGTCGGAAAACTGTGCTGAAAGCCGAGAGCCATAAAGAATGACTCCTTGTGCTCATGTCTTGTTGTTATTACTACTAAAAAAAAATGCTTGCAGCTAGACACTGAAAAAAACAAAAATCTGACCAATAATGTCCAATCAAAAATCTAAGCACCCCCCCAATGAATGCAGGGAGGCTACAGAGGCTAGAATTTGGGTGGCTTGTGGGTAAATGCTGAGACTCGTCTAACGGCCATGTGCGCCCGGTGTTCCAGGTTGTCTTTCCGCCAGAAAACTTCCTCCCGGCCAACAAGCTTAAGGAACTGGAATGTACTCTCCGCGGCAAGGAGGAACCAGATGACAGCAAGAACATGGACGACGACCTTTACATCTGCGCTAACCTGGAGGACTGTGTACCACCGAGAACGCGGCAGCGCTTCCGTGACCTTGACGAGGACCTCCATTATGGTGGAGGCGTCCAGTGTCAGACATCATAGAGACCTTTTGTTCAGATGGCTAGATTCCTTTCGTAAAGACAGTATTAATAAACGCTTATATGATACTGACGAATTCAAGCAACCTTTGAAGGAGAGTCAGCCTTGCCTGTTGTGCTGGTATGTAAAGAATGGCAGTATCGTCGGATTCTAAAGCCGGTTGATTTTCAGCATTGAAATGTTAATCTTGTTTTCCAAACCAAGGAAAGAACTGGTGCAGTTTTGTTGTATCCAACAGTTTTGTACAGGGACTCTGTCCTGTATATCCATAGTTATATACAGGAAGCTTAGATTAACTTCGATGCAGTTTGTCAAACTCAAAAATGACGGGCTTTTTCTTTTTAAACTGACCAAACTGGCAACTATTCTAAAACACTTAAGTAGATTGAAATCCCTGTTGTTTCTTCATTACGATTATTATAGTCGATTATGCGAGAGGCAGTCAAGTTGCAAATGTACTTCATTTGCTAAAGGGTCATTCCCATGATTTTTTATTTTTTTTTTTAAAGAGGGAAAAAAACAAAGTTGGTTTTCTTATGTAGAGATTTTGACATCATCTTACCTTTAAATTACTAAAATTGTCATTGCTCTGACTTAATATTTAACTACTCCTTAATTAGGCAGCCAAAATTCTCAATGCCATAAGTTTTAAGGTATTAAAACCTGAAACTAGATGTTTCTAAATCTTTAAACTTTGTTGTACATAAACCACAATAAACAATTTGTGTGGTGATATATATTTTCACTAGCTTTATTTTCTTATCTTCATAACTCTTGCCCTGAGTCTGATTACTTTTATTACAGAAATAAATGGTAATATAATAAAACGGATTAAGGGCCACAGAGGCAAAATCGACTGTTTAGACGATTAAGTTGTATAGTTCGAGTCCGTCTTCAAAGTAATTTTAAAAATTTGAGAAAATGGATATGCCATGATAGCGAGTTTTTGGGAATGACCCTAAGGCAACAAAATGTAATTTTAAATCATGGTAAAGGTGGTGCAGTTGTAAACTGTACCAGCATCCTGTACCATGTAGTGAAAAAGGTTACTGAAGGTGGTCTTTGGCCCAGGAGTTAAGCATTAAATGAAAGCAGTGCTTTAACTCCAGCTGTGTGAAGCCTTACTTTTATATTTAGTGAAGTCCGGCTTGGTCGTTTTTTTTGCTGTCACCGGTCTAGAGGCTGCTGTTATGAAGCAGACCTTGCAGTTCAAGTACGTTGTGTGTCAATGACAGATCTGTGTACTCTTGTACAGTTCAATCATCTTAAATATTGGAATATTTTAGCTGTGCGATATTAGCAAATTAGTGAGCACTGTGGGTCACATGGTGTGACGTCTGGCTGAGCTACAGCGGGGCCTACTGTTTTCATGCTATTTCTACATTAAGCACAATGATTCCTTAAATGTTTCGAGTCATGCAGTTCGTTTTGGATTTGAGGTGTCTCGTAACACCATATGCCTTGCACTTTGGGGAAAAAAAAATAAATCAGTCCCTCAAGAGTATATAACACAGATGTGATTAGCATGATTTTGTAACCAAAATAAGGATTTTTTTTTTTTTACCCTCGTGATCGTCTTGGAATATAGTCACTATAAACTTTAGTTCTGCCGCTGCCACACCGTGAACAAATCAGCACTCTGAAGGTTTCAATAATATTTTACATAGGTCACTAGGTGTGGTTCTTCAGTCAATTTTATTTTATTTTTTTTAATGTGCATGTGCAATTCAAAGGGTTATAAATCGGAATTCAGTGAACTGCACAGTCAAACGCTGATTTATACCCTCTGGGTTACACAGAAGACGGCACCTAGCATTTCATCATTTCTTGTATAGTGTTGTACTTCCTGTTTGCTGGCTGTTTAGCAGACTTGCTAAATTTGGTGGCCTGATATGTCAGAATCATTCTCAGTCACGTGTTTCTGCTTGAGAAATTATACCAGGTTAGAGGGTCAATACAGCAAATCACGATTAAAAAGAAAACGATTTAATCAAATCGATAAATGAAAATACATGGTTGAGGAAAAAAAACCTTGTTCTGTAAGAAACACAGAAAATCAACTAAGAAATTCAGTCCAATAAGAAACAAGTATGACTAACCCTGTACATTTTCCTTTTTAAAAGTCATGACTTAAACACTACAATTTAACTTCAGACCTACCCCCCCACAAATTTTGCCCTGTCCAAAAAAAAATAAAAAATAAAAAAGTCTCAAAAGTTAAGGCTTCCAGAGCTTGAGCAGTCCATCCTCACTGTAGGTGCCGATCAGATTCTGATGTGGGTGGTGAGCGATGCCGATCACATCCTTCTCGTGAATCTACGGGTGTGCAAACAACACTCACAACAGGACGTGCACTGTAGTCACGCAGCACGCTACCAAGCGCGTGCGATTACAAAACAGCCTCCACTGGCAGCGCCGGTCTGATACCACAACTGGGGTACGCACAGTCCCCACTAAAACGCGTAAATCAATCTGTTGTGTTAGAGCCAGCCACTTTGGTTTGTTTTGCTACTGGTGTTAAATCTCTACTAGCAAATATCTTTGAACATTACTTCTAATAGGGAATAATATTTCACTTAGATAGTAATGCAGTGAGTCATTAACCAACTTAAAAACATTAAGCAATCAATTAATGCAATAAAGTGATGAGCTCAAAATGGAAATCAATTTTAAAAAGGCTTATTGCTAATCAGGACCCCATTAAGGCAAAAACAAAGGCTTACGGTCAGGGTTCTCTCCAGTTTTCCAGTGACTGTACTGAAACAGTAGAGCACAAAATCCTCTCCCACGCAGTAGATCCACTCTCCCCGGGGGGAGAGCGTGCAGCAGACGAAGTCTCCACCCTCTCTCTTACCGGAGCTGAAGCTCCTCACGATCTGGAACAGCGTCGAACAAAATCAGGATGCCACCAGGTCACCATTACAGCACCAAGTCACCATTACAGCACCAGGTCACCATTACAGCACCAGGTCACCATTACAGCACCAGGTCACCATTACAGCACCAGGTCACCATTACAGCACTCCAGCGCCACTGTGTTCAGTTTTTTACAGTAGCAGGATCAAGGCAGCCTTGTCTGCACACTGGGACGCCCGGAAAAGGTTGAGATCCACCTCAATGGATCCAGTTCCACTGGTCCTCACCTGGCCCTGCATGTTCATGATGACGACGGTGTTGGACCGGTTGCACACCACAAAGTGCTCAGGGTTCTTGGGCAGAAGGATCACGTTGTTGACCGTGATGTCAACGCCAGCCGCCGTACCCAAGGACTTGAAGGTGTTGCTGCATTCTGTGGTCTTCATGTTCCAGATCTGGGGGGCAGAACAAGCCTTTAAGTCACACTATTCATGCTTAATCTCAACTGGACATCCAATAGAGAAAAAAAAGACGTCCTTTCCGTACAGAATCGGGATTGTTCAGCAATACGGAGGCACATCACGAGGGCAGTACCTTCACTGTGCCGTCAGAGGAAGCGCTGACGACGTAATGTCCGTCCTGCGTGAACGACGCCTCGTTCACGAACGAAGAGTGGCCACGGAACTCCTTCAGAGTCTTTCCCGACTTCAGCCCGTGGATCCTGGCCATTCCGACAGAAGGAAATGTCCACCCAAATCAATGTTACGCTTGGGAACATGTAAAGTACTCAGATCTCTGCAAGACTACCAGATCCATGATAACTTTCATATTAAAAGCATCTTAGGCATATCTACAGATAATATCTTTGTATTGTGGGAGGTTACGATAACTGGAATCTCTAAATTGCCCCTAGTTTGTGATTGTGTGTGTGGCCAGTACAAGTATATGCCTTGTGATTAACTGGCATTCTATCCGTGACTCTACCCATGGCTTGTGCATGATTTTCCGTGGAATAGGCGCCCCCTGGTGGTTAGCTCAGTGAATAGCAGTTGAAAAATGAGATAACACTATGGGCATTATACAACACAAAATACACTGTCCCTAAAGCATTTTTTCTGAGAGCTAAGGCACTCAATCATGACCAAAACGTCAAACCCACTATCTTCATTTGGAGGTACTGGCACACATTTCATATCACAGGTGCCTGTCAATGGTCTGAGGTCCACAAAGATCATACCTGATGGTTTGGTCGAAGGAGGCACTGAGGATCTGACCACTGTCCTTGCAGAAGTTGATGCAGGTGACGCCTTTGCTGTGTGCGCGCTCGAACCTGCGCAGGCACTGCCCACTCTGGATCTTCCACACCTAAGAGAGCACCGAGCGATCGCATAAGACACCTTTATCTGCTATCAGAGGCCAATTTAACGGTAGCGAGAGCATGTAAACAAATTAGGTCAATCCAAAACCATAAAAGCACATGATCAATGACAGTCCTCCAACAGCAAAATAAAACTTCAGACTGGGGTAAGAACTGCGAACCAAAAAAAAAAAAATTTAACAATGTATGCAGTCAGGGTGAGCAAACCAGTTTCCGCCTCACGCAGGAACAAGATTCCATACATTTGGCCGGTAAAGTGGTAAGAAACTCGCATATCAGGAAGCAGTTTATCATTAAAGACCACACCCCCCCTACAACCGTTTGTTTACTCTCTTACCATCAAGCAGACAGTACAGAGCTATGCAGGTCCATTACTCAAGAATGACCAGCAGCAATAATCAGTCTTGTTTGGTGTACTGTCCATATCACACTGCCATGTCAAATCGGCCCTGTTCACACACGGTATTATGATGCGTCTCGGGTGATCGGATCACAAGTGGGCAATGCAAAATACAAGTGTGAACCGCCACCAAGACGCAGAGTGATCCGATCACCCGAACCACTCGCTAAGCTTGGTCTGGGACGCATATGACCACATCTTTAGTAGTGTAAATGGAAGGAGTCTCCAACAAGGATGTTACATGATAATACGAAAGAACGGGAAGACGCATTGCTGGTTAGAGTGCAAGTGAAACCAGATGCTTGTTTTTGTTTTCTTAGCTAGCATGCGCGAAACAAATCTGCGGCTTATCGGGTGAGAGACACCGACATTAAAAAAACGTGTGCTGGGCCAATTTACCTTCCAGCGAAAGTGACATCGGCGGTCATGAAACCTGAACGCAAGTGGTCGGCTGGACGTGCCAGAGAGACATGCGACACAGGTGTAAACGTCGCACGTCACAGCTGTCCACTTGTGATCTCATCACCAGAGACGCATTTCAAAAAAATCAAGCGTAAACCAGCCATTGTGCCACTGTCTTGTGCAGTTTCAGGTTCTCTCACCTGCTGTTACTGTTGACTCAATGGCATATTACCTCATGGTCTTGTCTCCTTGCATTTTACTCCTCATCTAGTCTTTTACCCTTGTAAAATTCTCAATACATAAGTTTATATTTTTTGTATGCATCTCTCATCTTTTTAATTTTTTCCTTCTGCACTGTCATTGGAGGAGCATACCGAATTCCATTGTCTACGATAATAAAGGTATTCCATCCCATTTCATTCCACTCCATCCCATTTCATTCCACTCCATCCCATTTCATTCCACTCCATCCCATTTCATTCCACTCCATCCCATTTCATTCCACTCCACTCCATCCCACTCCACTCCATCCCACTCCACTCCACTCCATTCCACTCCACTCCATTCCACTCCACTCCACTCCATTCCACTCCATTCCACTCCACTCCATTCCACAAGACGCCTCACAGAATGATGAGACAGACCTTTATCTTGCCATCCTGAGCCCCTGTAGCCAGCATCTCCGTGTCGCGGCTGAACGCCATGCACAGCACTGCGTCATCCATCATCATGAAGTTGTCCTGCGCCTGGTACTTCAGATCCTGCCACAGACATGGGGAAGCTCTTTTCACCGGACCACCAACTACAGTGAGCATTAGCGAAAGAATTCTGACAAGACGACTCACTCAAGGAACGCCAGAAAGCGCCACCTAGAACATATATCCGCAAAACGATACCCAGCTGGGGGAGTCTCAAACAAGGCGGGTTTTCAAAGGGGCCGCTGACGTACCTTTCGGATTTTGCCGGTGGTGAAGTTCCAGACCTCGATGAAGCCATCCACAGAGCCGGTGACTAGGTACTGACCGTCGGGGGAGAACCTTGCGCATTCCACGTGCGACTTTTGTCCAAACTGTCAGAAGAGCAAGATCACGCTGACTCAAACTACATCATGTGATCAGACACCATGCGACTGACCAATTACGTGATTCACAAACCGCACAGAGAAACGAATCGTGGAGCCGATTGGTTGGGGAGCAAGCGGGGGGACGCGCACCTTTATGTGACGGCTGAGCTGGGTAGGGAAGCGCTCCTCCTCCACATCCTTCACAGCAGCCTTGCCCCTGAATAAGTCAATGGTCGTCCCCGGGGGGAGGAGACCCTGGTGTTGTTGCCACTTCAGCGACTGTCATTGTAAAAATCATTCTGCATTAGCTAATAGCAGTACATTCTGCCATCCTGTAGGGGGCAGCAGATACCTCAGTGAAATTAGACATGTCAACACTTTAGTTGCGATTAGGGCAGAATCTCTCTCACTG